GTGCCTAGAACTCCCTCTAGGTCTCCTACCCACATGGAGGCAGGAACTCAGATATTTGAGCCATCTTCCACTGCTTTCCCAGGATACATTAGCAAGGAGCAAGATCAGAAAGAGAACAGCGGACACTGGAATCTGTGCTCCGATATGGGATGCTGGGGTAGCAAGTGCAGCTTAACCTGCTCTTCCACAACACCAGCCCTTGACTTGAGGATTGAGATCAAACAGAGCCCTTCATCGAAAAAGAAGTACTACTCGTAAAGGAAGACGGAAGATTCCTGACAAGTGAAGCTCAGGTTTGGAATTGTTGATGTGGGAGACAGATGATTATGCGTACTGAGAAATAGTAAGAACACTTATGGATATTAAGTTAGAGGACGAAGACTTAACTAAATCTGTGATTTTTTTTAAATAGTTTGAGTTGGATGTTTTTATGTCAATGCATTTTGGTTGTAGAATTTAGAGTTAAGTACATGTTAGTGTTGGAAAAACCCCATATATATCCCTTTTCTATATTTCAGAATAAGCATGCAGCAGTGTGTCATGTGCAGAAATATATGTTTAAATGTATTTTCTTGGCCGGCACCGTGGCTCAATAGGCTAATCCTCCGCCCTGCAGCGCCGGCACACCAGGTTCTAGTCCCAGTCGGGGCGCCAGATTCTGTCCTGGTTGCCCCTCTTCCGGTCCAGCTCTCTGTTGTGGCCCGGGAGTGTAGAGGAAGATGGCCCAAGTGCTTGGGCCCTGCACCCCATGGGAGACCAGGAGAAGCACCTGGCTCCTGCCTTTGGATCAGCGCCGTGCGCCAGCTGCAGTGCACCAGCCATGGCGGCCATTGGAGGGTGAACCAACGGCAAAAGGAAGACCTTTCTCTCTGTCTCTCTCTCTCACTATCCACTCTTTCAAAAAAAAAAAAAAAAAAAAAAAGAGGCTCTTCTAGGAATGATAGGAATGAGACATGTTGGTTGAGAGCATTGTTAATTTTGTAGTCATGTGGACCTGGATTCTACATGTTACTGACCAAAATCCTCTTGGAATCTTAGTATCATTCTTCAGTGAGGATTTCAAGTGACAAGTGTTTCAAACATCTTGCACATTACCTGGCATATGGTGTACTTTTATTAATAAATATTCTCATTATCCTTAAAGAAGACAATTTAAGGCTTTTTGGGATTCTCCTTCTATCAGCTAATGTATTTTGCATATTGAATTTACAATCAGTATGTTTTTAGTCAATTTTGAAGTTACAGTCTGTGAATATATCAGACAATCACAGAATAAATCATGAAGCAAGACCCCTACCTTACACCTTAAACAAAAATCCACTCAACATGGATTAAAGACCTAAATCTACGACCTGACACCATCAAGTTATCAGAGAACATTGGAGAAACCCTTCAAGATATTGGCACAGGCAAAGAATTTCTGGAAAAGACCCGGGAGGCACAGGCAGTCAAAGCCAAAATGAACTATTGGGATTGCATCAAATTGAGAAGTTTCTGTACTGCAAAAGGAACAGTCAGGAGAGTGAAGAGACAACCGACAGAATGGGAAAAAAATATTTGCAAACTATGCAACAGATAAAGGGTTAATAACCAGAATCTACAAAGAGATCAAGAAACTCCACAAAAACAAAACCAACAACCCACTTAAGAGATGGGCCAAGGACCTCAATAGACATTTTTCAAAAGAGGAAATCCAAATGGCCAACAGACACATGAAAAAATGTTCAAGGTCACTAGCAATCAGGGAAATGCAAATCAAAACCACTATGAGGTTTCACCTCACCCCGGTTAGAATGGCTCACATGCAGAAATCTACCAACAACAGATGCTGGCGAGGATGTGGGGAAAAAGGGACACTAACCCACTGTTGGTGGGAATGCAAACTGGTCAAGCCACTATGGAAGTCAGTCTGGAGATTCCTCAGAAACCTGAAGATAACCCTACCATTCAACCCAGCCATCCCACTCCTTGGAATTTACCCAAAGGAAATGAAATTGGCAAACAAAAAAGCGGTCTGCAGCCTAATGTTTATTGCAGCACAATTCACAATAGCCAAGACCTGGAACCAACCTAAATGCCCATCAACGGTAGACTGGATAAAGAAATTATGGGACATGTACTCTTTAGAATACTATACAGCAGTAAAAAACAATGAAATCCAGTCATTTGCAACAAAATGGAGGAATCTGGAACACATCATGCTGAGTGAAATAAGCCAATCCCAAAGGGACAAATACCATATGTTCTCCCTGATCGGTGACAACTGACTGAACACCAAAAAGGAAACCTCCTGAAGTGAAATGGACACTATGAGAAATGGTGACTTGATCAGCATAGCCCTGACTGTTAATGAACAACTTAATACATTATCCCTCTTAGTAGCTTTTTTGTCTGTTCTACTTAATATGACTGGTTTAATTCTGTAATTAATACACAGTTATTCTTAAGTGTTGAAATTTAACTGAAATGTGATCCCTGTTAAACATAAGAGTGGGAATAAGAGAGGGAAGAGATGTACAATTTGGGACATGCTCAAGCTGACTTGCCCCAAATGGTAGAGTTAGAAACATACCAGGGGACTCCAATTTAATCCCATCAAGGTGGCATGTACCAATGCCATCTCACTAATCCAAGTGATCAATTTCTGTTCACAATTGATCATAATGAAAGGACTAAGAGTCAAAGGGAGCACATAAACAAGTGTAGTGCCTGCTAATACTAATCGATAGAATAAATAAAGGGGAGAGTGATCCAACATGGGAAGTGAGATACTCAGCAGACTCATAGAATGGCGGATGTCCTAAACAGCACTCTGGCCTCATAATCAGCCCTAAAGGCATTCCGATCTGGCTGAAAAGCCCATGAGAATATTTCAGGCATGGAAAGCCAAGACACTCTGGCAAAAAAAAAAAAAAAAAAAAAACACTAAATGAAAGATGTCTGTGAGTGAGATCCCAGTGGAACGAACAGGTCTTCAAAGAGGGAGGTGCCTTTCTCTGAAGGGAGGAGAGAACCTCCACTTTGACTATGACCTTGTCTAAACAAGATAAGAGTCGGAGAACTCAAGGGGCTTCCATAGCCTTGGAAACTCATGACTAGTGCATAGGGAGATTACTGATGCCATAAACAGGAGTGTCAATTTGTAAAGTCAACAACAGGAGTCACTGTGCACTTATTCCTCATGTAGGATCTCTGTCCTTAATGTGCTGTACATTGAGGCTTAATACTATAATGAGTACTCAAACAGTATATTTCACTTTGTGTTTCTATGGGGGTGCAAACTGTTGAAATCTTTACTTAATGTATACTAAACTGATCTTCTGTTAAAAAAAAAAGAAGAAATTATCAATTCCCAACTTGACTCTCACTGGGATTAAACATGACAGTAGGTCTGATCTGATTTCATCATCATTTAAAAAATCATCTATTATTTTTCACTTTATGTTTCTGTGTGGGAGCAAACTGTTGAAATCTTTACTTAATGTATGCTAAACTGATCTTCTGTATATAAAGAGAATTGAAAATGAATCCTCATGTGAATGGAAGGGGAGAGGGAATGGGAATGGGGAGGGTTGCAGGTGGGAGGGACGTTATGGGGGGGAAGCCATTGTAATCCATAAATCGTACTTTGGAAATTTATATTCATTAAATAAAAGTTATAAAAGTTAAAAAAGGGGTATGAATAACTAAGGCCATAATAAACATTAAAAAAATTAAAAAATAAAAATTTGCTACCTCTCTGTGTAATATACTCAATTTGATTTCCTTGCAATTTATGTCTATTGTAGTTCAATGATTGAACAAGCTTAATGTACATAATTGAAATGAGAATAAACTACTAGTTTAAGACACAATAAAATTATTTTTGAGCACTTGTGACTGTTAATTCTTTCCTTAAGTTTTTATTTTATTTTTTTTTAATTTGAGAGTCAGAGACAGAGAGACAGAGCTAACATTTGTTGGCTCACTCCCTAATGACCACATTGGCCAAGAAAACCAATGCTATGAGCCAGGAACTCAATCTAGTTCTCCTAGTAGGGTGAATAGGGATCCAAGTTATTACTTGAACTGTGCTCCATATTTGCAGGAAGCTGGATTTGGGAGCCAGAGTGGGAAGTTAAACCCAAATTCAAAATGGAAGCAGGCATCCTTACCAATAGGCCAAATGCCTGTCCCTTGCTGTTAGTCATTTTTTCCTTTTTAAAAAACTTTTACTTTCTTTCCCTACATATGTTGTATATGATAAGAAGTAATTATAAAGCTAATATATATGTTTATGGTGCATGCACAGGAAACTATACCGATTCTAAATGCAAAGCTGTATGATTTTTCAGATTCTACTGATGCTTACACTCAGGAAAAGAAACAAAACACCCATTACGCCAGAAGCCCACCCTGTGCTTGTCATCACCCCTACCCACCAAGGATAACTGGTATCCCTACTCCTGCTAATTTAGATAAGCATTTCCTTTTTATTTTAACTTTTATGTAAATGGAAACATGGAACCAGTTAACAATATTCCTTTGTGGGTAGCTCCTGTCAATATTGTATGCGTCATCATGTTTGCAGCTTTTATACATTTATATTCATAGTAGTATCAAGTTCCACTGTGTGGGAAAAAGTACTTTTTTTCCAGGCTATTGCTGATTTCCCATTAGATTTTAAATTTACAAAGAGTCTCTAATTTACTAAAACTGTAGATATAGAGAAAACACCTTTTAATTCATATCAATTAAATATCTCTATACCCCCCTTATAATGCAATTTCACAGATATTTATTTAGTGATAGGGTTTACAAAAACAGGACAACACTTCAAGTTATCTTACATTCTAACAGGAAAAGACTTTAGATAATAGCCTTTGGTATCTGCAGGTTCTATATCTTTGGATTCAACCAAACACAGATGGAGAATATTCTAAAAAAACAAACAAACAAACAAAAAACTATGTACTGAACATGTACACACTCATCTTTTCTCATCAGTATTCCCTAAATAACAGTGTACAACAACTGTTATATAACATTTAATCAAGAGATGATTTAAAGCATACAGGAAGATGTGCATATGTGATATATATACTTACTACAACATTTATATAAGGGACTTGAACAACCATAAATGTGGGTATTCACAGAGTTCTTGGAACCAATCCCCTGTGGATACTAATTTTCGAAAAACACTTTTAGGTAATATAGTAAGATTGCACACAAAGGAGAAAAGGAGAATGAAAGAAATGGTTGATGAGCCTTCAAGAACATGTTAAAATCCTTTATGAAAATCCTTTTGAAAGGAAAATATCTGAAATTTGAGCACTTTAAATTTGAAGGGCTATTCAGACATGTGTTGCTTTTATTACATAAAACTGCGAGATGAAAAAGCCCTTTAAGATCAGAGAGTACTACCAATCAACAATGTTCTCATGAATATATTACCTATAACACACAGCTCACTGAGGTCCATCCAGCCAAACGACATTCTATAGAAAATATTTGTGTTTTCTTACTCAAACAGTAAAAATATTATAAAACATTCTAAAATAAAATAGATCTTAATATAGAGATTCCTTTTTGAAAAAGCAGCTGAATAACTTATTCTTTCTCGTTTTCCTGCATCAATTCATAAACTGCACAGTAACTCAACACATACCATGTATGAATATTGGTGTTTACATCATATTACTCTAAAATGCCTAGTCATTATTTTGTAAACATGAGTTCGGTATCCACAGTATGAGGGGTGCTGTGCTAGGAGCCTCATATACAAAGACAATTAAAAGTGGACACTAGCCTTCAAGGGGATGGGAGTGGGGAGGAAATAGACTCAAAGTATTAAAACATGGTCCTGCCATGATAAATATAAGTGTATGGGGTTAGGAAGCTCACAGGAGATGAGGGTGGAGTGAGGTGGGTAGGAGTCTGGGGACATTTGATTGAAGAGGTGACTTGTGAATGATATTATGGATTTAAAGGTTAAGTTGGGCCATGTGCAGAAGGCAGGCATGAATGGACGAGAGAAATCTGGGTACAACCCAGGAAGGTTAGAAACCAGAGGGGTCATTGTTATGTGGGCCAACCAGTAGCCAGGGGTCTGCTTTCATGAATTTCTCTGCTATCATTATTTTTTAAATGTTAATGTACTTAGGTATTTTTTGAGTGTATAATCAACATAAAGTTAAAGAAATTTATTTTTTGTCTCTGAGTCCTGTGTTAGTCCAGCTTTTGTTGTCATTGCAAAGAAAAGTCCTTTCTGACGTATCAAATTCTGTGGTGTTTCAAATTCTATAATCCTTCCAGAATCAAGAACAAGGACCCTGCAATGTGAAAAGAATCCAGTTAGGTAACATACAATGATTTTTGGTAAGTACATAAGGTAAATAAATTATTAGGTGAGTTATTTCAGCACAAATAGAGATTAAATCAGTGAACAAATCAAGTTTTCTAATTGTTTTTTAGCGAGACATTATGGGGGGGAAGCCATTGTAATCCATAAGCTGTACTTTGGAAATTTATATTCATTAAATAAAAGTTAAAAAAAAATCAAGGATGATCTAGAAATGACACCTCAAAAAAAATTTCCTCTAATTGTTTTGGAAAATATCTTCTCTATAATTAGGGAACATTGTGTATCTCTCAGCACAGATGAAATTCCTTCTAAGTGGCAAATCCTTAGCACACCTCCTACGTTCAATATCCATCTCTGCGGAAACCGGGTCGTTTCTGAAAACCAAGCGAGCCTACCTGTCGCAACCAATGATGGAGCGGAGTCTGTGAGCGATGGTCAGGACGGTGCAGTCGGAAAACTCCTTCCTGAGCGTGGTCTGCACCACGTGATCAGTCTCCAAGTCCACGGAGGCTGTTGCTTCATCCAAGACGAGAATTTTTGTTTTACGAAGCAAAGCACGGGCCAGACAGACGAGCTGCCGTTGCCCAACGCTGAAAACAAGCAACATACTACTACATTAACTCCAACAATGAACATTATGGGAGCCTACTTCCTCTTCTAAAATGCTGATTATATTGTTATCCAGTTGTTTTCTTGCTCAATCATTCATTTACTTTATTTAAGAAATATTCATTGAGGAATTACTATGTGTCGGATCCTTACATGTCCAGGTTCTGAGAATACAGCAATGAAAAAAATGAAATAAAATTGGACAAAAATCTTTGTGTAAAGTTTCTCAAGAGGAAGACAGCAATAAATGAACAAGCTAACTGAGCAAAATGCATAGTAATAAGAGGAAGACTGTATATAGTATTTTCATACATTATTTTATAGGTAGATAGATGATAGATATTAGAAAATAGATGATAGCAGGTAGATAGTTGATTGATTGGTGTATGGATGGATGGATGGATGGATGATAGGTAAGTAAAAATCAGTTTTAAGAATTCACTTATAGGGGCCAGCGCTGTGACGTAGCAGGTAAAGCCACTGGCCTGCAGTGCCGGCATCCCATATGGGCGCTGGTTCAAGACCCAGCTGCTCCACTTCCAATCCAGCTCTCTGCTATGACCTGGGGAAGCAGCAGAAGATGGCCCAAGTCCTTGGCTCTTGGCTTCGGATTAGCGCAGCTCTGGCCATTGTGGCAAATTGGGGAGTGAACCATCAGATGGAAGACCTCTCTCTCTCTGCCTCTCTTCTCTCTGTGTAACTCTGACTTTCGAATAAATAAATCAATCTTAAAAAAAAAAAGGAATTCACTTATGCAGAAGGGGTTGTCGTATAAAGTGTAGATGTGAGGTGGGCATTGCAGGGAAGCTGGCCAAAAGACCTTTCTGGGAGAAAGTGACTGTTAGCTCAAGACCTGAGACCTGAAGCAAGTGGAGAGTGAGCCAAGCAGATTTTCAGAAGAAACTTGTTTGAGGCAAAGGGAACAGGAGATACAAATTCCCTGATGTGGGCAGGAGCAGACATGGCAAACCATGAAACAGCTCCGAGGCCAGTGTGGCAGGTGGGGAAGGACGTGATGAAAGAAGAGGCGGGAGTCGGTTCGAATCCCGGGAATGGTTAACAGGCTGGCAGCTCACTTTGCTGGTGTCTCGGATCATATGAAGGGGGCTGCCTTCCGATAGCAAACAGTGTTGAACAGAAAGAGAAGGTATCCATTCCCTTAGATCATTTTTTTGGAAGAAGTCTTTTAGTGTATTAATCTTCACTACACAAGATTCAGTTCAGCAGTGGTTTTTCAAACTGCACTGGTCTTGCTTGTTCTTCCAGTCCCTTCACCAGCAGGTTTCCGGGCTTGGCTATACCGTGTTATTCCTTGTCTTGCTCTTGTAGCACGACTCAGAAATGATGTGCTTTAAATGCACCAAACAAGCTCAGGGGGGCTCAGAAGTTAATTTCCTCCTAGGCCAATTCTAGTTTCCTTTTCAACACTTGTTTTAAGACTTAACAGTGTGCAACATTTTGCCATATTCACTTCATTTATAGATATTAAATACATACACATATATACTATTTTTTTCCTTGAAAACAGGCATACTAATATCACATGATGTGGGACCCATGACGATGATCATAAAAGCGTGGGAAGAAGGGGGTACTCTTAAGCCGGTGGCATAATTCATTGAAGACAATTCAAGTTTCTAAAGAGCATGGGATGGATCACCTGGGCAAACCCTGTGCGTGCTGCCCACCTGAGGTTTTCACCGCCCTCGGAAATCTCATGAAGCAGCCTCCCAGGAAGGGACTGCACAAACTCCTTTAAGTGGCACAGTTCCAGCACTTCCCACAGCTCACTATCCGAATACTTGTCGAGGGGATCCAGGTTCATCTGCAGGGTTCCAGAAAACAAAATAGGATCCTAGAGAATAAAATAGTCACCTGTCATCTTACTATCATATGAGACATAATTATATGTATTTAAAAATCAGACTCAGAAAGTACATGAGGAAAAAGCAAAATGATCGGATGTAATATGGTTATCAAATTCATTTTGTATTTGTTAAAAATGAGCCAGAACACATTGTATGGGAGTCTTCCTGATCTGTGGTTTCACTTTCTGGGGTTTCAGTCAACCACGGTACTAAAATATTAAATAGAAAATTTCAGAAAGAAACTATGCATAAGTGTTCCATTGTGCAACGTTCTGAGTAGCGCGATGAAAATGCATGTGAGGGGCTGGTGCTGTGGTGTAGCGGGTAAAACCGCCACCTGTAGTGCCAGCATCCAATATGGACGCCGGTTTGAGTCCCAGCTGCTCCACTTCTAATCCAGCTCTCTGCTGTGGCCTGGAAAAGCAGTAGAAGAAGGCCCAAGTCCTTGGGCCCCTGCACCCACATGGGAGACTTGGAAGAACTCCTAGCTCCTGGCTTTGGGTTGGCACAGCTCCAGCCATTGCAGCCAGTTGTGGAGTGAACCAGCGGATGAAAGACCTCTCTCTTTCTCTCTGCCTCTCCTCTCTCTGCATAACTCTGACTTTCAAATAAATAAATAAATCTTAAAAAAAAAAAAAGAAAATGCATGCGATGCCCTCTGTCCCACACAGGACACGAATCATGGCTTTGCACAGCATATCCACGGGGTATGTGCTACCCACCCATTAGGCACTCAGGGGCCAACTCTGCGATCAGACCTGCTGTTGTGGCAGCACAATGTGTACAAGTAAACCATATTTTACTTAAAAACTGCACAGGACTTGCAACCCTGGCAATTCAGATATGCCAAAGTGAAGCTATACACTGCTTCCTTTAAGTGAAAAAGTAAATTTTCAACTTGGTAAGGAAATGAAAAAAAATCCCACATGATGGTTACTATGGTAAGAATAAATATTCTACCCATGAAATTATGAAGAAGGCAAAAGAATCTGTGCTGGTTTTGCTGCTATATTTCAAACTGCATTAAAAAAATAACCTATGACTCATAAAGGAAAACTGATCAATATTTTGGAAGAAATTCCATATATATAAATTGTATTGGAGTATATAGCTATAATTATATCTTACTATCAGTTCTTGTTTAATCTCCTACAGCATCTAATTTGTAAATTACAATTATCAAAGGAGCATACATACAGATAAAAATACAGTACAAATTTTCTGTAGCAAGTGTGGTTTCAGGGCCGGTGCTGCGGCTCACTAGGCTAATCCGCCACCTGCGGCGCTGGCACACCAGGGTTCTAGTCCTGGTTGCGGCGCCGGATTCTGTCCTGGTTGCCCCTCTTCCAGTCCAGCCCTCTGCTGTGGCCAGGGAGTGCAGTGGAGGATGGCCCAAGTGCTTGGGCCCTGCACCCCATGGGAGACCAGGAGAAACACCTGGCTCCTGCCTTCGGATCAGCGCGGTGCGCCGGCCGCAGCACGCTGGCCACAGCGGCCATTGGGGGGTGAACCAACGGCAAAAGGAAGACCTTTCTCTCTGTCTCTCTCTCTCACTGTCCACTCTGCCTGTAAAAAAATAAAAAAACAAAAACAAAAACAAGTGTGGTTTCAGCCTTTCAATGGAGGTCTAGGAATTAAATCATTATGATCTTTCTGATTCTCCTTTTAAATTGCTTATTTTTAATGTATCAGTGACAATCAATAGTATGATGATGAGAGCTGCCAGTTAGCCAGGTGTATAATGTAATAAAATGTACTATGTATATACCATTGTCATCGTACCAAGTCAGGAATACAGAATGTAATATCCCTACTTTTTAGTGGACCCAAGGATACAAAGAGCTCTTGGTCAGTGCCACCCAGAAGGTAAGTGGTTGAGTTTCATTTACAGCAGACTAAAAGTATCTACTTTTACCACATCACAATGCCTAGTGGAACCAAATTTTAATATATCTGTGTTTATTTATAAGATAAGGATGACTGCTGTCTCGTGTCTCTGCTGACTTTTTCCCTTTCCAGAATTTTTGATGATATTAAAATTTATTTTGAAGTAAATAATATATATGTATGTCTAAATAAAAACACAAATTTATGTCTAAACAATATGACAAAGATTTAGCATTTTAAACATGATTAGAGATAATACAAAGATGTTTCATAAATATCCAGAAAATAGCTTAAGTCTCTCAAACTCAACTAAATTAATTGTCTTGGACTTTAGAAGGATATTCTTGAGTCAATTTGCATACTTGTTAATGATCATGTATCTTTGATTCCACACATGGAAAAATCAAAAGACTTTAGGAAAGAGATTTAACTAAATTACTGTTTTTTTAAAAATATTTCTAAACTTCAAATCAAAAGAATCAAAATCTTACATTGAACCTACCACCTAATCAAAGATCTCAATAATTTTTTTAGTCTAAAATGTACCAATGTGTTTCAGTTTGGTCTATTTTCTAGAATCTAATTTACATTTACTATTATGAAGAAAACTTGAAAAGCAATGTACTGGTGTTTCTGGTAGATAAATGCTCTTCTGCAGAATGCTGTAGGGTAAGAGATGTTAATAGGATTCAAACAGATTTAAAATGACCTCCTTCCAAAAAAGAATTGATATACTTGGAAGGAATAATTTTTTTTAAGATTGACTGATTTATTTGAAAGTCAGAATTACAGAGAGAGAGAAACACACACACACACACACACAGATCTTCCATCAGCTGGTTCACTCCCTAGATGGACCACAATGGCCAAGGGTGGACCAGACCAAAGCCAGGATCCCGGACCTTCATCTGGGTCTCCCACTGAGGTGCAGGGACCCAGCCATTTGTGCAATCTTCCAGTGTTTTCCCCAGGCCATTAGTGGGGAGCTGGACTGGAAGAGAAGCAGTTAGGACTTGAACTGGTGCTCATTTGGGACGCTGGCATCATAGGTGGTGACTTTACCTGCTATGACACAACATCAGCCCTATTATTTTTTAAAGAAAAGAAAAAAAAAAAGAAAAACACTTGGAAAGTGTTCAGAAAGCCTACTGGGAAAACAAGTTTTACCTGTGGGATGATGTTAAGTTTGCCACGAAGATCATGGAGTCCAATAGTGGATATGTCAATACCATCAATAATAATTTTGCCTCCTGACCCCTCCACAATTCTAAATAAGCAGTTCGACAGTGTTGACTTGCCTGCTCCAGTCCTTCCCACAATTCCAATCTAAAAGGAAATGATCAAAACCAGCTCACGATGAACTTTTCAGAAGAGAACAGAGCCTCTTCTCTGTAACAAATACATCTGATGTCAGGTTAGTTGGATGTAATTTTGCCAACCAGAATATCCTTGAGTGGTATGGAAAATGCCATGTGACTTCTAAGGACTCAATCTCTCTACCAAGACACTCACATTCACTGGGAACACTTTAGCTAATATGCTTTTCCTCTAGTTTGGGGTAATTACCATTTTTCTTGATTTGGATCCAGTTTGAGTGTATCCATAGAGGTTCAAGTGTTGAAAGTTAATCCATTGTGAGGTGGTAAGAGGGTTGGAACTTAATCTGACCCTCAAGGGGTGGGATCTCTGGAAAGTGGCTAGGATTAGAGAAACCCATCAGGACACAGCCCTCATGACTGAGTCCTGCTGGCTTTATAAGAGGGAGAGAGACCAGGCGACAGACTTGGCACACACCCTGTCTCTTGCCATGGGACAACCTGCACTGTCTCAGGACTCTGCCAGCAAAAGGACTGCCACCAGATATGGGTCCTTGAACCTCTACAACTGTGAGTCAAAGGAACCATTTTTTCACTTCAAATTTACCTGGCCTCAGGTTTTTGGGATAGTAACAAAAATAGACAAATAAATCACTTAACTACAGAATGCCAGTAGCCCCAGGAGGAGCAGAACAGCCCTGATCGACCCTTGAATATTAAAAGTGAGGGAAATGGATGCACTGATAATGGGGTACTTTAACTAGAACTTCCAGATTGGATCTCTACTCTCCTTCCCCTTCCTGAAACACACAGGGTACTGGAACCTTTTTCCAGATAGGCTAGAAAATCCAATGGCATGCATGCAAATTTCTCTGATGTATCAAAACAACTCTGTCTTAGAGCAATTGAGGGGAGCCACAGATAGTGTTTAAGGATCCTGGGCTCATGGCCAAAACAATTAGCTTGTCTTAAACATCCTAGTGATTGAATATGTTCCTTTGGCCGTGAGAATTACAGCAATCTTTTTTGGCTACTGATTCATGACTTGGCATTAATAGGAACATTAGGAAGAAAGAATAGTGATGTGGATGGTTTGCCCTAGTAAAAAGAACCTTGAATCTTAAATTGACCCAAAAAAAAATCAGAAAAAAAAAAAAACCAGAAACTTGTTGAATTAGTAGGTATAATCAAAATTCCAGAATAATTTTATTTATTATCAAGATATTTCTGTTTGAGACATCATTGCAGTAGACCTGTTTAGAGGGTTAGAAAAACGCCTCTCAGAGGTTATAAAAGACAAACCTCCGAGAGAGGAAAAGTGAGGCACTGCTGTTTTTTTGTTTCTGGTTTTTAACTTACAGTTATTTGTAATATACCTTTCCAATTAGGAAATAATGTTTTTATAAAAGATTTTGAAAAAATGTGGAGAAAATATAGAAGAAAGCAAAAAGTTCATTTGAAATTCATCACTGAGATGCAACCACTATTTCTGTTTTATTACTATTCTAGTATTTTTGTTAATATGGTCACCTGTTTGGTTATTTAAAATACGAATATCATATTATCAACAGTTTTATATGTAGTATTTATTAACTAATTTCATCTCAAGCATCTTTTCCTTTGGCTAACTTTCTGGGAAAACATATCATTGACTTTACAAATATTCTGTCATACAATTTTAGTATATTTTAAGTAACTATTTACTATTGCAATACCCTTTATAGAGGAAGTAAAAGTAAGTGCACTAAAGTACTTTTGCATTTTTCTTTATACAGGGAAAACTTTTTCTATACAGACCATTTTAACAAAAGACCACCTTGTAGTGAATGTCATATTACCCATAACAATGGATGTGTTCACTTAAAACATAAAATGAAACACGTGAGGTATATGCGGTACCTTCTCTTCCCCATGAGTCTGGAAAGTGATATCTTGTAATACTAAGCCAAGATCGTCTCGATACCGGGCCTGATAATTCACAAATTCCACTATTCCTTTACTGGGCCATTGTGATGGAGGCCTTCTAGGCATTATCCATGGTGCCTTAAAACGAAGAAATGCTCTTTAAACTAAAATTATGGTTAAAAAAAGAAAAAGAAAAAACAAAACCACACTCTCTCCCACACGTCAAAAATATATTTCTCAATCCTATAAACAAAAGCAAGGATAAATGACAGACGACATTTGTAGATACTGGTTAGCTGAAATAGTTTAAACATCACCAATAGAAAACTTCTCATCTCGTTATAACAAATTCTTAGAGGGACTGGTGTTGTGGCTTAACAGGTTAAGTTACCACCACTGATGCCTGAATCCCATACATGAGCATTGGTTCAAGTCCCAGCTGCTCCACTTCCATTCCAGCTTCCTGCTAATGCACCTGGGAAAGCCAACAGAAGAGTGATTGGGCTGCTGTACTCATGTGAGAGACATAGATGGGATTCTCCTGACTTTTGCCTAGCCCAGCTCTGTCCACTGTGGCCATTTTGGAAGTGAAGCAGTGGATGGAAGATCTCTTTCTCTCTCTATCTCTCTCTATCTCTCCTTTTTCTTTCTCTCTCTTTGTCACTTTGCCATTCAAATACATGAATCTTTTTAAAAAGAAATTCTTAGAAATCAGCTTGTAGAGACAACAAGTCTTCCCATTTCCTGTCAAATTATTCAGAAAATCTTTCTAAAATCCCATAAATAGGAGAGGTAACCTGAAATATTTGCTGAAATGAGAACAGTCTGCCATTCATTCATTAAATACTGAGTGTTTATAATGTCAGTCACTGCTTTAATTGCTGGAGATTTAGCAATAAGGAAGTCAGATAAAAACACTCCTCTTAACAGAGAGTGCATGCAGTGGGAAGAGTCAGAAAGAACCAGTAACATATGGTTACCAGGAAATGAGGAGGGGTGCTGGGAGGTGGGGTGTCACTTTAAGTAGAGTAGTTAGGAAAAGCATGATTGGACATGGTGAGGGAACAAGCCATGTGGATATCAAAAGAGCCTTTCAGGAAAAGCAACTGACTACTTGGAACTAACTACCTGTGTTGAAGACCAAAGATAGGGGTTGCAGAACTATTGGAAGGACAGCAGGAGGCAGAACACACAGAGGAGCCTGGTGCCTGCACAGTGAGGTGCAATCTTTTACAGGCAAGGGAGTGAACTCCAATGTCTGATACATTAAATAAAGCAAGGACGAAGCTCTTGTGAGATACAAGCTGGTGTATTTATATACCAGTATTTCATTATTCACAATTGGAAGGGAATAAACATGCAAAGAGACATACAACTTAGAAATAATACATATTAGTATGTATTATTTATTATTATGTATATATACATAATAATAATACATATTAGTCATCAGATGGCTAATTAGATTGAGCATCTTCAATTGAATTCTGGTGTCCAGATGTTGTGAAGGCAGACTAATGTTTCATGATTCGTGTTAGAAGGAAAGGCAAGGCCTAGGGAAGAATCCAGACGGAGAATCAATGTCCAAGTTGGTGTTGGAGGATGAACACACTCAGAAGCATTGAGGAGCAAGAAGATGGTGCTACTAAGAGGTAGGAATTTGAAAAGATGGTTAATGGATCAAGGTTGGAGAAAAGGCAGGAAGAGAGACTACTGAGAGGACAACAGGAAATGTTAGGACTTTTAAAGATTATTTATAGATATTATTAGAGAGAGAGAGAGAAGAGAGAGAGAATCGTCCCAATTGCTGGCTCACTTTTCAAATGCCTGTAACAGCTGGGGGACTGCAGCTTGGGTGTCAGGGACCCAAGCACTTGAGCTATCACCTGCCACTTCCCAGGGCGCACATTAGCAGGAAGTTGGAATAGGGAGTGAAGCCGGGACTTTGATTTCAGTATAGACTGCAGGTGTCTCAAGAACATCTTCAAAACTACGCCAAATTCTGGCACCTAGATTTTTATGCGGAAGAGGCACATGGCTTCCTCAGACATATGAGCAAAAGAGGAAAGACACCTTCTTAGAGGACTGAAGATCCAGAAGTTCAAGTCACCTCTACCATCTGTCCTATTCATTAATAGATTTTGGAGGCAGAGGTAATCCAGATGAGCTAAATATACACATAATTAGGTATTATAAACTCGGCCAGTAGTGTGATTCTTTGTTCTCCCAAATTATAATTAAAGGGAACAAAACAGATGGATTTATTCTCTTTTCCTCCTCATTAATGGAAATGTTAATTAATTTAAAAAGTGTGTAGAATATAAGTAATTTTGAGATGACTGTATTATGACACTTTTCTCAGTGACCACTAACTATGGCCTTAAGTTGTATATTTTATCCTATACCAGTAGAAGACAAATCATTATGTCTTTCTATAAAGGCGTATTTCAATTTTATCACTCATTGAAATAGATTTATATATTACAATTTATGGAATGCCCTAATTTAATTTAGCAGTGTTTTTGTTTCCATTAAAATGATACATAAAGTACTAGTGCATTTTATCGTCATTTTGGTTATAGCTCCCTTAAAATGCTATTACAGCGTGATTTTGGAAATGGAGGATTTATTCAAAGTTTATTTTTATAAATGTCAGTTTAAGGTACAAAACATTTTAATCCTTCATCCATTTGTTTGTTATTTGGCAGTTCTTACCTCTTTCTCTATATTTTCATATTCACAAATTCTTTCAATGGAGACAGCATTGGTCTCAATTTCACATGCCTTCCTTACCCAAAAGTTCAGAGAGTGAGTAATCTGGAGAAGATGGGGATGGGGGAAAGCAGGAATTGAATCATGCTCATTAGTCTTTTACATAATAAAATTATACTTTATTTTTTATAAAATCTCATATTTTCAATTTTCATATACTTTATCTCTTGATTATTTAGCTAACATAGAAGTAAGTATGTTTACACATGTACATACCTGAATCTCTTAAATTACATTAAACTCATTAATATCATAAATCATGGAATTCTGTGGCATAAGACTGGATGAATGTAGTTCAAAAAAATTGAGATCTATGCATACAGGGACTATGCAAAGAATGCATGAACTAAAAAGTGCATGGATTAAAAAAAATTTTTTTACCAAAAGAAATTTCTTTTTGCTCTATTTTCCCACAAACTTTTATATACTTGGTGTACAGATGTCTAAGATGGATGGGGTGTACATTAAGAAATGTACAACCTTGGCCGGCGCCGCGGCTCACTAGGCTAATCCTCCGCCTAGCGGCGCCGGCACACTGGGTTCTAGTCCCGGTAGGGGCTCCGGATTCTGTCCCGGTTGCCCCTCTTCCAGGCCAGCCCTCTGCTGTGGCCAGGGAGTGCAGTGGAGGATGGCCCAGGTGCTTGGGCCCTGCACCCCATGGGAGACCAGGAAAAGCACCTGGCTCCTGGCTCCTGCCATCGGATCAGCGCGGTGCGCCGGCCGCAGCGCGCCATTGGAGGGTGAACCAACGGCAAAAGGAAGACCTTTCTTTCTCTCTCTCTCTCTCTCACTGTCCACTCTGCCTGTCAAAAAATTAAAAAAAAATAAATAAAAAATAAAAAAAGGAAGACCGGAGCGGGAGATGGGATGGTTGCGGGTGGGAGGGAAGTTATGGGGTGAAAAAGCCACTGTAATCCAAAAGCTGTACTTTGGAAATTTATATTTATTAAATAAAAGCTAAAAAAATAGAAATGTACAACCTTAGTAAGAAACAAAAATAATGCACAAAATACTTCAGGCTTCTTCATTCCTTTCCATCATAAGGAAGATTCCCATAGCACTCTGACCATTTACAGTCCTCACTTGTTTTTTTTTTTTTAACTCCACTTTCTTCTCACCTTCCCGACAAATGTAGGATCTCCAAGGTTGCAACTTCAAACCTAATTCTGATAGTCATTGAAGTTTGCAGTGTTTAGGAGGTGGGTTTGATTTGGATTTCCCAGGTGGCTGCTGACAGTGAGTATTTTTTCATAAATATGTGGTCTATTTGCATTTCTTCTTCTGAAAGCTGTCTAGCCAGATAATTTATCTATTTCTTAACTGGATTATTTGGGGGTGTTTTTCAAATGTTTCATGTTTTGTCTCAAATGTGGAAGCCAAAAAAAAAAAAATTGATCTGAATGTAGTATGTTGATTACAAGAGGTTGGGAAAGGGGTGGTGATAGGAATGGGTAAAGAGAAATTGCATAATGGGCATTCAAAACACAGAAGGCTAAAAGAGTTAAGTCCTAGTGTGTCACAACTCAGAGGCACGATTATAGTTCACAATAACCTATTATATATATGAAGAAGTCGGAGAGAAGCACTTGAAGGCTCCAAACAAAAAAAAAATGATAAGGTAATAAAAATGCTCATTGCTCTGACCTGATCAGTTCATGCTGTATATGTGTGTGAGCATTTCACACTGTTCTTAAATATGTACATGTACAGCCATCCCGTGTTCACCAAAGTAAAATTCAAAAAACGCTGAACCCTGTTTCTTCTTGACTGCCAATCCATTTAGTGGCCCCAGCTGACTTTGACAGATATGGGGCCCTTGAAGGTGTTTATTTTACCCACCTACTTCACAATAGAAATAATAACTTGTGGTTATGGGGTTCTCTGCTCCAGACCTAGGTACTTGTAGCATTTTCCGCTTCCAGAAGCCTAAGTTCTGAATCTGAAATGCGAGTGGCCTCGAGCATCTTAGATACAAGACTGAGGTTATACACTCAAATCATCTAGGCTTAAATAATGCGTAATTTTATACTGCAGTTTAAATAGCATTTGCCATTTGGCAAAGGGCTCATGAACACATGCATACCAGTAGTGCTTTACAGTGTAATATAAAATAGAGCTTCTTAGGGAAAAATTGATATTCAGAAGAGAAGCAGCACATACATTTTCCCCAGAGCTTGCATTATCTCTGTTAGGCAGAGCAAATTGGACTCACAGCCCTAGGGGAGAGGGCCTTACCTCTTTAACTCTCTATAAATCTATAAGGATAGGGGAGCAGAGAACTGCTGCATCCGTGTGTTAACAGCAGGCGGTTCCTGGCCCTGTCTGTGCCCAGCACTGGGTAGCAGACTCTTCCCTGTGCGCTAACTCCAAAACCGCTGAGCCAGTTTCCTGCTGCCACCAAAAGAGAGGAAGAAATGAGCCTCCAGGGTAATCCAAATCTGTCTCCCATTACTTAGTTAATAGAATCTATAACTCAGACAGGCAACAGAGAGGAGTTTAATTAATTGGATTCTAAACATACCATATACCAGCAAATCATTATTACTTACATTTAGGGCATAGGATATAGACAAACCAACTATTGCTGAATCTATGGAATTGCCAGCCAGCATAGCAAGCAATGCAGCAAAGAACACCATCAGGTTGCCAAGAAATTCAAGCCTAACAGACAGCCACCTGTAATATATGGAACAGATTCTGAGGAACCAAGATAAAAAAGTTTTAATGCAACTAGTACTAACTTGCCTCTGGGAAATCAAAAAGCATACATCAACTGCTGTGTTCTAACCCCTCCCCTTACTAGTAATTCATTCAAACAGGATGTTGTCACAATGAGAGCTCAAAGAATTCTTCTGCCCCCAAATGCACCTTACTTGTGCAGATCTTTGCTTTAAAAGTTAATCAGAATGACAAAGCAGAAGAAAAGAATGCTAGCCAAAATGTCGACTGTATTTTTAAAAATTCTGCTGGAAAATGAATTACTTTTTCTATTACATATACTTTTTATATGATAAAGTCTCTAAAAATTAAAATGTGCTCAACTACTATTTACTATTTCATTTTTCTTCATGTGAAATTATAAATTCAAATTTTAAAGTGGCATAAAATAATACATATAGATGATGTCTAAACATATAAATAAAACATAGCATGCATTATATCTCAGTAGTTCTAATAGCACCCTGCATGTTCTTCAAAAAACTTTGACTTCTGTTTTCATACTTTCATATAAAGTAGAGTATGCCTTTTATGTGACTATGAATACATATATAATTCAACTTAAATGTATATTATGTACTAGAAAATACTTAAGGCTTTCATGTATAGGTGTGTTGATATGACTCACCTGTTTGCAATTACGTTATTGTAGAAACAGACCAAGTTCTCATTCACCACCTCTTTGTTTTGCTGGATGAACCTCTGTTCGTGTCCAAATGCTCTGATAGTAGACACCCCTGACAAGGTCTCTCCAAAGTGGGAAATAATAGGAGAGCGAGACGCTCCTGCCAATCGTCGAATCTGTCGTGAGCTTGCCACATAGTATCTCTGCTCAGAAGACACAAAGAGGCAGTTGGGGAGGTGCAATGAGAAAGGTTCCCCGGTTTAGAGACTGCAAGACTTCTTGGGTTGTGAGTCAAAGATTGACCTGCTACAAATATGTCCAAGTCTCAGCCTCCAGGATCTGTGAGCACCACCACAGTGGAAACAGGATTTTTGCAAACATAAACGAAGGATCTCTCGATGAGATCGCAGTGGAGTGTGGGCGGAGCCTAAATCCCACGCTGAATGTCCTTATAGGAGACAGAAGAAAAGTCACAAATGCAGGGAGAAGGCCATGTGAAGACAGTGGCAGAGTTAGAGACCTGACACCAAGTCCAGGAAAACACCAGAGATTGTGGGCAGCCACAAGAAGCTAGAAGGAAGCAAAAGCCAGATCCTCCCTCAGTGCCTCTAGAAAGAAAATCAGTCCTCCCAGCACATTGATCTTGGACTTCTGGCTGCCACAACTGAAACAGAGAATAAATTCCTGTTGTTGAAACCACCTAGCACACTGTTACCGGGACCTTAGGAAATGAACAAGTGCTTGGCAATAGTGAAATGTTCCAATTCTGAAGAGCACATGTGGAACATAATGAGGCAAAACTTCACTTGGATAACTCTCTCAAATGACCATGGGGAGTGAACCAGCGGATGGAAAACCTCTCTCTCTCTGCCTCTCCTTCTCTCTCTCTGTAACTCTTTCAAATAAATAAATAAATCTTTAAAAAAAAGATGCCCACTGGGACGCCTGTATACCATTACCGTGCCTGGGTTGGAGTCCCCGCTCTGCTTCTGACTCCAGCCTCCTGAAGGTACACCCTGAAAGACAGCAGGGGCCCTGCTACTCACGTGGGAGACGTGCACTGGTTTCTTGGCTCATGACTTTGACCTGACCCAGTCCTGGATGTTGTGGAAATTTGGGGAGTGAACCAGGGAATGGAAGATCTATCTATATGTCTCTTTCTCTACCTCTCTGTCTCTCTCTCTCTCTGTGTCATTCTGCTTTTAAATAAATACATATTTTTAGAAAGATCAATAGTTTCTCAACTATGAGATCATCACATAAAATTTCACTTACAACTTTTGTTTATAATCAGATATAATTGGTCTCTGTCCCCAGTTTCATTGAGGAGACAGTTTGTGAACTCCTAAAATAGCTTCCTACTATTTCCTATCCTAGCAATATAATAAATCCAAAGTACATGGGTGAATCCGGTCTCTGCACTATGTTGGTAGAGAATGTTTCACACAGAAAATGAAGTAAGACCTAGGCCATGAAGGAAAAATAAGATCTAGACATAAATGACAAAGAAAACATATGAAGTAGAAGAAATAATGACAACATAGATAAATCAATGAGAAAGGAATTAACACAGTGGCATGAGTAGATTTCACATCAATATGAGTTAAAAAATGGGGTCTAAAACTGTATTTGACCATGGACACATAAGTTATTAATAGAAATAAACATCCAGGGACTTACTTGAATGGTGAAATAGAAGATAATTAAGGGAATAACAGCCAGTATGAAGAGTGGTAAAGCTCCCACAATGACCAAAACTGTTCCAATAACATCCAGTGTACAGTTCAACCAGGTCCGTAAGTAGTAATGGAAACGCATATCAACTACAAACATATCCTGGAAAAATTGATATCAAGTCACTTTCTTTTTAACTTTTCATGCTTTAGGATCAAGGGAAGAAGAAATATACCATTCAATAGAAAAGCTTATTCATGTGTGACAATTTGATTGGTAGTAAGTCTAACTGCATGGCTTTTGCCCACTCCTATATATTTTTCTCCTATAGTCAACTGTAACAAATAAAAGCCTCTTCTAATAAAAAGGTGAGTGACTGTGAGCAAGTAATCTAGATTTTCCATTGATGATAACAATCATACAACCAAAGTCAGACCCTAATGAAAGAACAGAGTCCATAACTAGGATTCCAGTAGCTGGGTTTTCCAAATCCAGTATTTGGGGCATTGGGCTACTCCTACTTACTACTCAAAAATTTATAAAACTCTCCAGGACACTATTATGTCCTAAAAACATGTACAGTACCTTTTTGATTTGCTACATCACATCCAAGGCAAAAGACATAGAAAAGCAATATAATCTTCCTTTACACAATTAGAAACTGAAAGGTGGAAGTGGATTATAGGAGTGAGAGAAGGTCAATGGGAAGGCCATGTCATTCACACTTTGTTTCATGTGACAATCAAGCCTATGGTTATGCTACAAGGTATGACCTAAGGAATTCTGAGGAATAGGAAGATACCAAACTGATAGGAAAAGTAGAGATGGTATTTTATTAATTCTGTCTTGCTTTTCCTTGGGGATCTCATATACCAAATAATGTAACAGTCCCATATTCTCACGTATCTTCTTGTCTGTCATTAGAATTTGTTTTCCAATACTCCCATCTGCCCAAGACTCAGTTATCTGGAACTTTATTATTTAAAGATATCATTGTCTATTAGGGTGACAGTAGGAAATGGTTGCTGGGGAAGACAGATGCTGGTGATCAAGCTTTTCTATGAGTTTCAGAACTGTGTGCATTTGGTGTGAATAAGAAAAGTTTAATATTCCAGCAAAAATGTTTTATGACAGATATATTCATACCGTATCTTCACTCTCCCTAACATATCTTAATGTTGTAGACCTGCAGTAACACAGAAGCCACTAGCAATATATGGCTATTGAAAACGCACAATGTTGCTACTGCAAATTAAGACACTCTATCAGTATATTAGATATCTTCCAAAAATTCATGGAAATGTGTATTATGAAAAATAAAGCATGAATTTTAAAATTTTTTCACCAAAATAGGTTTGTCTTTTAAATTCATTTTTTTTCACTAACTTTTTGAAGTACTTCTGTATAACACTAACCAAATTCTAACGATTTTGTATACAAATGAATGTAAGCATATAACCAACAATTTTATATTGATTACAGTTTAGAGTCATGTTTTGGTTACATTGTATTACATAAAATGGGATAATTATTTTTTACTTTACTGTGACTACTGGAGAATTTAAAACTACATTTGTAGTTTGAATTTTATCCCTATTTAACACCACAAATATATATTTTTAATAGTAAACACAATGGGGCAACAGGGACACACTGGAAATCCCCACCTCTCCCTACTCACGCTAAGTGATTTCTTAAGCTTTCTTAACTGCAGAATGTTTTCAAAGCTTCTACGTCCATGTGGACTTCTATTTTCTTTTCCTTTTTAGCCTAAATCAGTGATTTTTAAATGTATGAAGCTGTAGACACCAAATCTGTGTACTTCCTGTGTTCTCTGAGAAATTTTCAAGGGTTCTTTCAGTTATACATGTAAGATGTTGTTACAAATGCAATTGTAAATGTTCCAAGAGTTAGCAATAAATTTGAAAATGAAACCTATGCTAAACAAAAACTTAACTTTGTAGGACAACATGTTTTTACAAATGGGGTTATAAAGAATTAAACACAGGTCACCATATTTAGATATCATTTTTTAAAAAATTATTAATATAAAGAGAACAGATTTCATGTATTTCAGGGCCATAGTTCAAAGTAGATAATAATTCTTCTTTCCCTCCCTCTCTCCCTCAATCTCCTTCCCTCTTTCCTTTTATTTTCTTAATTTTTGCAGAAACATAATTTCAGTCCACTCTATAATCACACGCTTAATGCACTACTTACCTTGGTGAATCGACTGATGATCTGGCCTATGGGGTTGGTTTCAAAAAACTGGAGGGGGAGATGTAGTACATCATTCAACAGCTGAGTGTACACTGTTCGTGAGGCAGCCAGGGATCCTCTGCTGAGAACATAGGCTCCAGAGCAGACGAAGAGACCTGAACATAAGTTGTTATCAGGATCATAGTAGCATCTTAAGTAAATGTTGTGCTTTAACCCTTAAAACTTACAATAGGATTTTAAGATTGAAAACTCAAACATTGTACTTAAAAATGTGAACCTGCGGACCAGTGTCTAAAATGGTACATATAAAATTATTTCTGCTGGTTTACCATGTTACAAGCATACAGCTGTTTCTGTTCACAGTTACAGGCTTTAGAGAAATGCACAGAAACTAAGAGATCAATCTGACAGTAATTTTAGAACGATTAACCTCATGATGTCTTGTGGGACAGTGGGTAGCCAGTGGTGGTGCTATTAGTCAAACAGGTAAGTTCTCTCAGCTTCCGGGTTCATGGTGCAGCTGTCCCCTTGGGTTCAATGGGATAGCTCTGAACAACAAATTAAAATAAGACACACGACACTTCCAGACCAGAGCCGGTATCAGACCTGCTCTGGCTTCTGTTCCCTTTGTGCATTGCCTGCCAAATGGTACATGGATTTCTCCTTCAACTTGAGTTCTTAGGCTTAGCAGTGTTCCTTTCATGACCAATAGTGGACATGTGATATGAATGCATAGCAAAAATGTTTTGGTGTGGTATGCTATTGAGACTTGCCTGGTGGAAGGGACTGAAAAGGCAGACACTATATATATATATATATATATATATATATATTTCAAATATATATAAAATGGCGACCCAAATTGTGTTCTTTATAATCTTATTTGTAAAAAAAAAATCAGCCTAGAAAGTTGAGGCTCTGTTTCATACAGATTTCATTCTCAAATTTATTTCTAAATCTTGGGACATTTATAATTGACATAATTATAATTTATAATGTCATATCATACATCTAACAAAAGAACCCTTGAAACTGCTACAATATAGCCACAATATAAAATGCTACAATATATGTAATATATGTATAATATATATATTTATATGCTCTATGGGTAATTTTAGTGGAAGTAGTTGGGGGGTTGGCGCTGTAGAGTGGCAGGTTAAGCCACTGCCTGCAGTGCGTGCATCCCATATGGGCACTGATTCAAGTCCCTGCTGCTCCACTTCTGATCCAGCTCCCTGCTGATGTACCTAGGAAAGCAGCAGAAGATGGCCCAGCTCCTCGGGCCCCTGCACCCATGCAGAAGACCCAGAAGAAGCTCCTGGCTCCTGGCTTCGGAATGGCCCAGTTCCAGCCATCGCAGCCATTTGGGGAGAGATTTCTCTCTCTCTCTCTCTCTCTCTCTCTCTGCCTTTCCCTCTCTCTAACTCCACCTTTCAAGTAAAATAAATACATTTTTAAAAAGAAAAAAAGAAAGAAGCTGGAAACAGAACTTCACTTACAAAAACATTACTAGAGTCAAGCTCAAAAAGGAGCTAGCCAAGGTGTAATAAGAAAAGAGAGGAAAAAGCGTCCCAGTGGCTAGTTCAAGGATGGGTCTGTGACCCAGGTTGTTTCAAAGGAGCAATTTCGTGGATAGATGGAAGTGGAGGGTGGGGTGTGTGGGAATTTTTGGTTGGAGACATTGCCATCATCATGTGAAACTGGAGAATTAAACCAATGAGAAAAACACGTAGAGGTGACAAACAGAGCTGTGGATCTTTTACTTGAGCCTTTGGGTGGAGCATGTTTCAAGATCTATGCCTGGGCTCTTCAGGTTTGAGAGCCAATGAATCTCCCTGTTACTTAAGTCAGTTTGCTTTTGAGCCTCATTGGACACACATTTGCTCCATTGCACTCTAACGCACAAAAATTGCTTATAAAAATATTTTGTCCATATGATCCTTGTCACCTTGTAGTACCATGTCTAAAACAAAACAAAATGAAAACAGTGACTCTTCACTACCTTAGATTAGCTATTTTTGGATCTTTAAACAGTATCAAATATCGCCCGCCATTTACTGATTTCTCAGTGTTAAATATTTTCTATTATTTTCCTCCCCCCTTCATCCTTACTTCTCTTTCCCTCTCTCAAAATAAATCAGGTTCTCACCTTTTTTCCTCCGATAAATATTCAGTGTTTACACTATTATAAAACACATATGAGAGGTATTCAAAAAGCTCCTGGAATAGGCACATTATAAAAACTAGTATGTTGGGATTCCAACTTTCTTTGCACCAAAACAAACTGATTTTTAAATTCTGTTTTCTCTCAAAAATTTTTTATATTCCCTCATAATATTCATGAAGTTTAGTAATTTTTGGTGCATGTACTACTAGTTTTCCACATGATTAGCTTGCTATGCAATGAGCCCTTATTCCCAATCATTTCAATAGCTAGCCAATCTCTTTTGCCTATACTCAGTCATCACATATTCTATTGTTTCCTTCACCCGTTTTAGCCTTGTCCCCTCTGCAACACAAACTATTTCTTTGAAATCCTCTATCTACCTGTTCCAAATTAGAGGGTTTGCTGGAACAGGCATTTGTATTCTTCCGTTTCAGGTAATATTTTAGCATAGTATGTACATAATAATTTTCTTCTCCACTTATTGAAACTCATTTTACATGAGAGTTGAACTTTCTGAACTCTTACGTTAATTTTTTTCTTATCATTCATTTTCCATCCCTGTTTTGATGCACCTTTGGGATAATTCATTCTAATATATCTTCTTACACTAGCACTATCCTTTTAAATCCTTTACATTGTCTTGTTCTCCAGCTAATTTATGGATGTAATATATTGAATCTCTGGAGATATTAATCCAACCGTGTCAAGTTTCTCTTCTATTTCATATATGATTTCTTTACTTCTGGGCTCAGTTGATTCTATTTACACTGTTAGTTTGATTAAAGTGCATCCATCATTATCAGTTTATACATCAGAGGCAGGATAACTTAATTAATTAATACACCTGATGTGGATTTCTTCAGCCAAAGGGTACATTAATTACCCCCAACATATCTGTCTCTTTAAATGGAAGGGTTTGTTGCAGACTCAGCTTCAGTGAGAGGGTTCAACATTGGATGTCCACATACTGAGTTCCAGATGTGCAGGCTGAGGCTTTTCCAAGCTCACAATCAGGTGGCTTTCTTCTATGCATGTCACTCAGGCTAGAAGCTCTCATTCCTTCTTTAACCACCGGATTCCTGGTTCTCATCATACTGCTACCACACCAGTGGCAGTAGGCACTGATGGCAGTAGGGGTGTCATAGGAGAGATTAACAGGCTAGCAGAACAATGCACTAGCAAATTACTTGGATGAATTGATTGCAACTGAATTCTACTCTCTCCACCTGTGACCTTGAGTTTAGAATTTTCTCATGGCTTTACTGCCCATGTCTCTTTTCTGTTGCACCTTGTCCAATGTTTGTTTCTGGCCACAGGTTCTTCTGCCCTTGATTATCTGCCTATTGCTTATGTAGAAATTTATCATGCTGTAATCCCTTGAAGTTCACTGGCATTTCATTGAAATTTTGTGAAGTAAGTAAAGTAAATGACCCACTCAGTCATTTTTAACTGGAAGCAGTAGTATAGCTTTTATACATTCTGCTTGGAAAATAAGGTGCCTATATTTTAAATAATTTGCTTGAGAGAGGGAGGGGAAGGGGGAAGGGAAGGGGAGGGAGAGGGAGAGGGGGAGGGAGAGGAGGAGGAGGAGGAGGAGGAGGAGGAGGAGGAGGAAAAAGAGAAGGAGAAGATGAGGAAGATGAAGACAACAGATACATTCCCTAAATACATGCAATGCCAAGGTTGGATGGGCTGAAGCTGGGAATTAGAAATGCAATCCAAATCTCCCATTTAGATACCAGGAATACAATTCCTTGAACCATCACTGCTGCTCCCCAGGGTCTGCATTAGCAGGAAGCTGAAATCAAGACACAGAGCTAGGAATTGAACCCCAGCACTCCAAAGTAGGAAATGTATATCTTAACTGCTGGGCTAAATACCTATTTCCAAAGAGCTTATATTTTAAAAACTGAGTTGGAATAAAGAAAGCCCTAATAGCAAGATATAAAACATAATAGGTTAGAGGGGTGTAGAGTGTCTTAGAAATGTGAGAGCAAATAGCTGAGATCTGATATGTCAAGTATCCTTCAGAAATCATATTTTAATATTTCAACCAAATATAACCTGTGCCTACCCTGAATCATTACAGTGCTAAGCTAATAAGACATTTGTTTAAAATTATTAATAATCTGAGAGAGAGCAAGTGAGCATAAGAAAGAGAAAGGACTCCCATCTGTTGGTTCATTTCCCAAATGGCTACAATGGCTGAAGCTGAGCTGGACTAAAGCCAGGAGTCAGGAACTCATTCCAGTTCTCCCATATAGGTGCAGGGATATAACTACATAAGCCATCACCTGGTTGTGCTCATACTGTGCATTCCCAGGAAGCTGGAGTCGGGAGCCAGAGCCAGGACTTGAATCCAGGCAAACTTACATGGGATATGAGAATCTTAACATCCAGCCTAAATTCCCATCCTTCAGCATTAGAATTTAAGCTCCTTAACAGTCTCACCTCTTGGTATTCACATTGCTTACGACTCTCACGTACATAGATAGTGGCTATGTAGTGAAGAATGTTGAATCCTGCATGTCTTAACATACATGCCTCAGTTTCCTTCACTACACAATGGGGATAATGTCTTTCTAAATAATTATCATCAAGATTAAATGAGAACAACATGTAAATTATTTAATGTTGGCTATGTTGCTGATACCTACAAGTGTTGGGTTACTCTCTAAAATGTGGTAAATGGAAAACATACATATTTGAATTATCCTCCAATATTAAGAAAATATGGCATATAACACATCTACATCCCATAGGCACCTGGAGGGATGGACAACACCTGTGCCTCCCTTTCTTTTCTGTTATCTGAGGAATCTGAACAAAGCCTTGGGTTTGAGCCAGTCGTCAATTCCCCTGACCCAATACTAAGGATGCCTTTTACTCGTGTCTTTCAGTTTGAATAAGACTCGCACATATAAATGAAATGTTTCTGTTTGTATCTGTAAAAAAAATGGCATAGATTTTATTTGAAATAAGATGATGCTAAATGCTTATGTCTGAATCAATGACATCAGCAAAAGAAATGAGAAAGCAGACGGATATTTTTTACCTTGTATTAGTCCCAATAATCCATAGATACTAAGTTTATTGCTTCTGATCTGCTTCCATTCTGTAAACTCAGTCATGTGTTTTGCTTCCTTTGTCCAGGCACTAAGCCACAGATTTTGACAAATGCTCATCAAATTCTGCCCTAAGTAAGTGGCCACAATCAGCCCCACCCAAAGCCAGCCAAAGGCCTGGAGGTACTTCACAATGATTGAAAACTTCACCTAAAGACAAAATTGATGCAAGAATTAGAAATAGCAAGAAATGTCAGAATGTGACATGACATTTCTGAATAAAGTGTCGTTCCTGATAGTTTCTGATTAGTACCCATTAAACAAATATTACAATGCAGGATTTTAAAGCTGTACTTTAAAATCAAACATGACAGCTTTATATGCTATTCTGATATTTTCTAAATTTTGTCTTCTTGGTCATGTTAATAACTCCTCTAACCCTCAGTTTACTAATCCATAAACTGAATCATGACAGCAACCTCTTTATAAGTACATGTAAAGTATCAAGCACAGTCCTAAGCACTTGAAAGCAGTCAATTCATTTTAATAACTATCAGCAGTAAAATATATTTCTGTATGTAACTGAATAACATGCACTGCTAACTAAACACCACTACCATACCCAACAATTTAATTTATTTAAACTATTTTGTAGTAACCCTCCTCAAATAATAAATGTATATGACAAATTAATAATGCAATGTACTATTTTACATTTCAGTTATTAATAATAAATAACATTAATTCTTCTGGTGCTTACCCCACCAACAGGAATCTTTTCCTTTTTCATTGAAAACTGTTTTCTGTGATCCAATGATGGCCTGATAAAGCAAGATAATATTCGCCTTTTAGATTTTAGATGATCCAAACTTTTTAAAAAAAAGTTATATATTAACCATTTTACTGTGTATTCCTCTACATATTTACCTTAACAAAAACCTGGCTTGCCTAGACTATAATATAGTTCCTTGAATCTTATCAAAGGGAGACTGCTTTATCCTTTCATACATCAAACAGTTTAAGACCAGGACATATTTGTCTGATTTTTCAGTTTCTTCTAAATAATTACCCTTCAGATTCAAGCCAAGTTGGGAGATCATTTAAGCTAATGCCATCAAGTTGTATTATACTCTATCTATTCCTTTCCTGACATATGAACAAATTAGCCTCTAAGTCGTTTTGCCTCCTTGGTTCTGCCATGATCCTGGGTGATGTCACATCTTACAAGGCAAGTGTCTTAAACTCAACCTTTTCCCAAGTTCACGACCTCCACATGCCCAGGGTCATTCATCTGCGTTCTGCTTTGGCCAACCATTCTCATGACCTTAAACCATGTGTCTTATTACCTGGAACTATCCTACCTCAATTTCTCAATATTTGACCATGACCACTTTTATTTCTCAGTTGTAAATCCAGTAACTCCCACTTAATGTGGTTTTATTCCATTTAGAGTCCCAGTTCCCAAAACCAACTTTGTGCTCTTAGATAATCAATGGGACTGGTTTACCATGGAGTTTTCTTCTTTTAGCATTGACTATCCCACATTTTAGGAAATACTTTACTTCCTAGAAATCCTATACCCTCTCTCTAATTCCCTTACTACTGACTCCTTCCCACCAGCCTACAGGGAAAAACACATTCTTCTCGCTTTAAAATCAATACCATCACAACCAATGCAATCACACTGTCAACTGTGACACCCTCCCACTGCCTGCTGGTTACTATTCTACTTCTTGCTTTCCTTTCGTAGTAAGCCATTTTTCCTCCAAACCACCTATTCCTTCCCGAATTTTCTGGAATCTGATAAAACTTCTTTCAGCAAGGACATCAATAAACTCTTGTTGATATATCCATTGGATTTTTTGAACATTCTTTCACTTAAATTCTCCATGGCATTTAACATTCTTGATCCCACTCTTGTTCGAAAGCCCCTTCCGTTTAGTTTTTAATTTACCACCACACCTTCATATTTTCCTCCCTTCTGTCTGGTCCTCCATTAGTTTTGTTAATTTCCTTTCTCTGCCTTCTTAACTTTGTGCTTCCTGGAGGTTCAGTCCAACCATTATTTCTTTTGTATCTTTTGCATACTCCTGAGCAATGCCCTCCATGCTCACTGGTTCACTGACATCCTTCTCTGTGCATCTCTCAAATTGATGTGTCTACTCTGTATCTTTTCCCTGAGTTTCAGTTCCATATGCCAGATTTCTACTTTCATCTAACTTTTCTCTTTGCTTATTTGTCTCACGTACATTCAAAACCAAACTTGTTGTTATTTTTCTTCTTTCTGTAAACCTTTTTCTGGCTTCCCAAAGCACCACAACATTTCCTCCATCCCAAACCTGGCAGCTTTGTAACAAAGCACCAAATAGTTGTCAATTTTATCTTCTAAATATCTCTGTAATTTCATTATCAAGGAAACATTTAGAAAATATCAATCAGCATGAAGAAGAGTAAGAAGAAAGGAAGAAAGGGGGCAGAGAAGAACGAAAGATAGAAGAGAGAGAGAGGAAAGAAAACCAATTCATAACTCTCCAATTCAAAGATAATCTGTGCTAACATATTGCATGTTGTTATAGTCTTTTATTTGTATGCATTGAGAGTGATAATATAAATGTTGACCTCTGGTCATTTTTTAAAAAAATTATATGCAGTCTTTTAACTCAATAAACATGAGGAGACATCAAAAAGTTCATGGAAAATTAATTAAAGGGTAAGTTTATTGTGGTGCAGAAAAATTTAAAAACGTATGCCAACTTTTTCCTATAATAGGCACTTTCCATGAACTTTTTTTTTCTTTGACAGGTAGAGTTATAGACAGTGTGAGAGAGAGAGACAGAGAGAAAGGTCTTCCTTCCGTTGGTTCAACCCCCAAATGGCCGCTACGGCTGGCGCTGCGCCGATCCGAAGCCAGGAGCCATTTGCTTCTTCCTGGTCTCTCATGGGGTGCAGGGCCCAAGCACTTGGGCCATCCTCCACTGCCTTCCCGGGCCACAGAAGGGAGCTGGACTGGAAGAGGAGCAGCCGGGACTAGAACCTGGCATCCATATGGGATGCTGGTGCCGCAGGCAGAGGATTAGCCAAGTGAGCAACTGGCGCCAGCCCCATGAACTTTTTAAAGTCTCCTCATAAAATTAGATATTCTTCTGTAACACCATTATATAATGTAACAGCATTATAATTTATAGTACTTTATCTTGTGTATAAGTTAGTGAACATCAATACTTATATTAGATGCAATTTTCTTCCACCTTAAATATTTCCATACCAATCACTCTTTTTATGGATTGTCCCTTGTAATAAATTCCTGCACACAGAAGCATGGAGTATGTCAAATTCTATGTTGTTTGATATAGCTACTCTCAACATGACCCCTAGAAATTCTGAACTAGTGTGTACTCTTCTCAGAAGATCTTGAGAACTTACTTCCCTGTGTTTTCCATGTTATCTATCAGAGTAAGAAATACCTTGTATGATCAGCCTGGCCATTACTTCCCTTCTTGGCACTGGCACTAATGTTAAGAAAGATTCCATGGGAGGTTTCAGGACCCACCCTTGGTAGAATGGTAAGCCTCAGCATCAGCAAAAGATACACTGTTTAACAGACACTTTCATTGGAATAGTTCCTGGTATCTGATTTGGGTTAATTACTGTCATCATCCTTCAAGCCCTTGGCATGGTTTCTATTTGGATAAGCAAATTTAGTATTGGTGTCAAGCCAAAAAATTAATCCTTAATGTAGCTGGACATAAAATGCTATGAAATCCAACAGTTAAAAGGGAATTAAAACTTCCTAATTAGATGTGACTAACAAAGAGCAATAATTTATTAGATACAATCCAGGAAGGTATTGCTTTTCCAAACAGAAATGCTATTTATTCCTTTTCCACAAAAGCAGTGCGTTTCGTTCTGGATGCTTTGCTGTTAATAACAGATTTTATCTGAGTCCCTTGCATGAGTAGAACATGTTAGGCTGGTAGAGAAGCTTTAAAAATTAGGCTTGTTCTACTCCTCAGGTATTCTCAAGAAAAACTGTCACAATGCCTATTTACATATTTTTGTGTAAAATATATAAAATTAACTTTTTGAAACCATAATCCCTGAATTGAGCACTCAGTTGCAAAGTGTAGGGTCTGTATGGAAGGATTAAAGTGATAATATTTGCCATGAAAGTCAGAAAGGGGTGGTCTAGATACTAAGAATAACAGGCCTAGTATATTTCATTCAGAGCACATAGTAAGAGACCTAAGGAAATAATTAATATGCATGATATAAATTCAGATAAAAATTATGGAATCAGTTCAAAATATCTTGATCTTATTAGAAAACTCAACCAGTGTCATTATTATAACTCCAGTTGTTAAATTGAGATATTAAGGGTTTTCAGGGATTATTCAGACAACCCTGGCTCTGCTCCTAATTCCTGATGGAAAGTTAGTCAGTTTCCTTTCAAATTTTTGCATGAGGGAAACTCATGGCATTTCACCTCAGCACATCCTCCCATTGTGGAGAGGTTTCAACTATTGAAATATCCCTGCCCATGTGTAACTTCCAAATCCTAGTCCATCTTAGATCTGAACTAATCAGAAATAAAAATGGCAAGAGAAAATAGCATAGACACTAACAAACTAAGGGCTGGCACCATGGTGTAGCAGGTAAAGCCACCGCCTGCAGTTCCAGCATCTCCTATAGACACCGGTTCGAGTCCCAGCTGTTTCACTTCCTATTCAGCTCCCTGCTATGGCCTGAGAAAGCAGTGGAAGATGGTCCAAGTACTTGGGCCCCTGCATCTGCATAGGAGACCAGGAGGAAGCTCCTGGCTCTTGGCTTCAGATTGGTCCAGCTCTGGCCATTTGCAGCCATTTGGGGAGTGAACCAGTGGATGGAAGAATTCTCTCTATCTCTGCCTCTCTTGTAACTCTCTGCCTTTCAAATAAATAAATAAATAAATAATTCTTTTTTTTTAAACAAAGTAACAAACTATGATAACCAAATGATTGGAAAAACTGAAATAGATTTTTAAAGCATGAGATAAAAATGATTTCATTGCTTTTTCACAAGCAAGATGTGCAAAGAAGATTAACGGATCTAAAATAAGCTGGAGCTGATGGATTTTCCCCATACACCTCAAAGAGAAAGCTTGACTCTGGGTTGTGTTGATAACAGCATGGCATTGGAAGAGAGGTGATCTTCCTAAGGTATTCATTGAAGAAGGTAGTTTTAGAATGCAGAATTCAGTTTGAGTCTCAGCAAATTAGAAATGTTTAGAAAACACTTCTGTAAACAAATCTTTACAAGGATTGGATTTGTTTCCTCCAGACGGAAGAAGGGGAATGATTTCCCAAGAGTGGTTCTGAGAAACTTCAAGTGGTGCAATTTAGACAGCATGATTATGAATCTGGAACACTGATTTATTATATAGTGTATCATTATGTTTATTGCAATACTTACTTATTTTTAATTTTAAAGCTTTTTTATCAAGCTACTCACTGAGTGCAAGGTGAGACCGTAGACAGGTGAAATTGTACTTAGGATTTAGAGATGTGTACACCCCCAGCACATGACTTTCAAAGTCTGTTTCAATGTTTCTATTTTCAGCTTTCCTTGGAGGTTCTTAACAAATGATACTCATTCAAGTCAAAGATATTAAGTTATGATGGCCAAAATATAAATAAAATAAATGATGGATTAGAAGTCTTTTGAGAGTACTTTCAGTCTTTAGTTATTTATTCCTCCATTTCACAAATAGTTATTGAGCTTTGGTCTATATGTCATTCAGAGTTCTAGTTGAACACATGGGAAAAAAATCCCTGCCCTTATAACATTTCTAACCCAGAGGCTACGATCAACACCACTCAGATTTCTTATTCCCAAAGGAAGCAGTAGGACTTAAATGTTTCTGAGATCTCTTCTATTAATTCTATGTTTTCTTATTTCTGGAAATACCACCTAGCCCTTAATGTGAGAACAACAAAATAAAAGTAATCAAGTCAGTTTTCCCGGGTCCTATAGGACTTCACATACCATTCCAAGGACTTGAGATTTACTCTGATGTGTGAATCCTTTGGAAGTTTGGAGCGTAAGAACCACATAGTCTCATTCACAGTGGTAAAAAAGAAACACCCTGGCCGGCACCGCGGCTCACTAGGCTAATCCTCTACCTGCGGTGCCGGCACCCCGGGTTCTAGTCCTGGTCGAGGCGCCAGATTCTGTCCTGGTTGCTCCTCTTTCAGTCCAGCTCTCTGCTGTGGCCCAGGAAGGCAGTGGAGGATGGCCCAAGTCCTTGGGCCCTGCACCCGCATGACAGACCAGGAGAAGCACCTGGCTCCTGGCTTCGGATCTGCGCAGCGCGTCGGTGGTAGCGGCCATTTAGGGGGTGAACCAACGGAAGAAAGACCTTTCTCTCTGTCTCTCTCTCTCTCTCTCACTGTCTAACTCTGTCAAAAAAAAAAAAAAAAAAAAGAAACACCCTGGTTCTGTGTTATAAACAGCCTGTTTGGGGGCAAGAATAGAAGAAGCACTGTAAAAAGGAAATTACAAAAATATAGGTGAGAAATGATATTGATTTGGGCAAAAGTGGTTGCTATGACAGTGATGAATAGCACTTGACTTGCATTTTACTGGATATACATTTTGAAGATAGGCCTACTGGGATCTGATGATGGACTAGATGTCAGAGAAGTCAAGGACAATGGTAAGATATGGTTACCTGGGCAACTGGAACACAGGTGCTGCCACAGCTGACGTACAGAATAGTGTATGTAGAACAGGTTTGTATTTGGTTCAGGAAAATCAAGAGTTCTATTTTGGACAGGCACATTGGAAGTGTTATTTAAACATAAAAGGGGAGATGCTAACGAGGAGAGCTGGCTTTCCTTTCCAACCCTGGAACTCAGAGGAAAGTGACAGAGCATACATAAAATGTTGGAGGCATGAGTATATGGAAGGTATCTGAAGTCATGAGACTGGATGACCATAGACAACACTAAGGCAGTAGATAAAGAGAAAGATACAAATGTCATTATGATCAACATAATTTAATTGAGCAACTGAGTCATCTAAATCTGTCAGACTACAAAAATCTCCATCATGCCACAGCCACATCCAGGTCTCCCATTAGGTACATCCAATCCTTTAAAATGAATAAATTCAAGGTTCATTCTTTTCACCAAAGTCAAATCTACAAAATTCTGAGCTATTGTATCCTGCAGCATTTGCAGCCCTTTAATCAATTTTAACTTCCTAGTTTAGCAGGTTTGTTCAGTGGCTGCTCCCTGTTACTTGGCCACTCCCTGTTACTTGGCCACTCATTTTTAAATCCCTTTATTCCTATTGTTTCAGCTTCCTATTTTGTTAACTGCTGGGGGACATGTTGGGAGAAAGAACTTATTAGGCTTATTTGCCTCAGTCACTGATCATTTTAGTCACCTACAAAAAGCAAAAATGAAGCCTAATGCAACACAATCCAATCAGGGCCAAAAGTTTTACTGTTTTTCTTTCTCCCTCCTTTCCTCTTTTCCTCCTTCCTCATCTCCTTCCACTTTCTCCCCCCCACCTCCCAACCCATTCCTCTTGCTTTCCTAAGCAGACTGCACAGATGCACAGAGCCTATGCCAAGCCCATATTTTCAGGTCACATACCTGGCCCGAGAGTCATTCCAGTCCATTGTATATTTTTTATGTCTAAAGGCTATTTGCACAATCACATCTGTAGAGTATATCAACACTATGGGGTCAGGATGTGTTTGGTACCAAAAAAAAAAAAAAAAAAAAAAGACTAGATTCCCACTGCCAGAATTTGGCTAGATATAGATGAGTATCTAATGAGCATATGTTTCCAAAACTAAATCACATCCATCTCACTTAAAAATTTAGACACATCTATCTAATTGGTAGTTTAGAATTGGAAATCACCAAATACATTTTAAAAGATCGTAGCATATGAATGCTTTTTACAGAGTGAGTTTTAAATGCTAAAAAAAATGCAATTAATTAGTCCACAATCCCAGGGAGCCTGGTATTATCCAGATACTTACCTATCTTTTTGCTCCAGAATTTGATCTTCCAGTATAGTTTTGGAGTCGATTACATTGATTCGCTTTGATGCATGTGCTGGAGAGGAAGACAGTGCTTTTACATCCATACAAACAAATGATCCACAAAACAGAGACATACAGTGAAGGGTGACTCCCAATGGAGAGATTTTGAGTCCTAGATCCTGGGAATCCTTTCATTTTTTCCCACTATTTCTGCTTCATCTAAAATATCTTGGTAAAATTAAGATTCTTTACAATGAAACATCCCACAAAAAAAATCCCTTTTTGGATTTTAGAGAGGGCTGCTAATCTATTTTGATATTTCATAGGAGAGCTAAATTTTTGGCTACATGGCTCTAAGCTTTAAAAGAACAATGGAATTTCAACAAATCTTATACATGATTTTTATGAAGATTGATTAGAACCCCACCATGGTAAATTTCCTAGATCTGTCAGTTTCTCACAAAGTCAGTAACAGCAACATTGTTCTAATGCATATTGATTAACTCTTAGCTCCAAACTTGCCCTGTGCGGGACCTATTATAGCAATCCTTCTACTGTAGAAATAAAGAAACTGAGGTATTAAGAGTTTAAGTAGGTCAAACAAATGTAGGTCACACTGCTGAAACTACCAGAGACTAAGGTTCAAGCTATGTTAGTGATTTTGTTAGTAAACATATCAGTTAGGCAGATTTTGCATGTGTGTGTGTGTGTGTGTGTGTGTGTTTTCCAAATAGGATATTTAATTCCTTGAATTTCAGATTCCTTATTTCCAAAAGGAAGAAACCCAACTCTGATGTTTCTATGGTCTGTCACATGAATTCTTTACTTCTTTATTTCTAGAAGTAACCACTTAGCCCCTAATGAGAGAATCTAATCTAATTTACTTCAACCACTGGCACAAAGGGATTCCAGGCTCAGAGACTGAAGAGTTCAGTTTGGAGAAGTCTCAGCCTCTGATCCCAAAGTATACTTCATATTTACAGTCTCTATCAATAAAATTTAAATGTACACACAATTTATAGAGCACTTTCACAGACGCTATATAAGTTAAGTACCAAAATGGGCCCATGAGGCAAAGGAATAGGAAAACTTGGTTGAACTTTGCAGGAGAAAAATAAAAAGTGGATAAATGATTTGCCTGAAACCCAGAGTTTGAAAGAGAAACTGAGGCAGAGGAGCGGGAAGTAAGCCAAGCAAGAAGGAGCTGGGTCTACCGTTGGCTTTTCATGCTAAGTCAATGCACTTGTCCCTCCATGTCTGGTACAATACTTCAGAGCTTAACTGATTTCTGGCATGAAAGAGAAGGAGCATTAGATTCTAATTTTGCCACTTACAATTTGTCTTAATTTGTGCAAGATACCTAATCGTTTTGTCAAAACCAGGACCATGAAACCTCGGGAGATTTTAGGGACAATTAAGTAAATGTTAAACCTGAATATGGAGGCATAGTTAATACATATAACAAGGTAGCTACCATGAATATTATTAGCATCTATGAAAATTTGCCAAGGGAATACTTACTCAATTTCATAGAATGAAATGTTGCTCAAATCTAAAATAAAAATTAAAGCCAAGCAGGATCTTTCCATAAACAAAACAGGAATTAGGCAAAACTAAACCTACAAGTGTATACATTTCATCTTTATTTCTTTTGTATCTTTCTTCATAAACCCATTTCTTATTGCTTATTATCTTATAAAACATCCCCTTAGAGTGAGACACAGATTTTTCAGACCTGCGTGGAATATAAACCCAAATTACAATGCAAATAAATAGTAGCTTTGAGTCTTTACTTGCTAAGTTATCTGTCAACAATGTCATCAGTGAGACCTAGAATGATCTGGAAACAAGAAAGAGTGGCTGAGGAATGAGCTATCTGGGTGTAGGGGAAGGATTACAATGTGCAGTGTTCAGTTCCACGTGAGACACGAGGAGAAACAGAGCTGGCTCAAGGCCTGTATTTCTTAAAGGGAAGAACCACAGAATCCAGTCATGTCTATGTGAGGACCGGATCCCAGGCTCCTGACAATTGGCCCACTGTTTTTTCTACAATGCTGTGCTGACTTATACTTCCATTGCAGCGCTACATAGGTTTACTAGAATTTTCTTGCCTTTTTAACAAAGATTTATTTATTTTAGAGAGGAGAAAGACACACACACACACACTAAGAAGAGAGAGAGACAGAGAAGGGAAGAAAGAGAGAGAGAGAGAGAGATCTTCCTTTTGCTGGTTCTTCACTCCTCAAATGGTCACAATGGCTGGGACTGTGCCAAACCATAGCCAGGAGTCTGGAATTCCATCCAGGTCTCCCATGTGTATACAGGAGCCCAAATACTGGGACCATCTTCAGTTACTTTCCAAAGCACATTAGGAGGGAACTGGATAGGGAGCTAAGCAGCCAGGACTTGAATCTCCGCTTACATTATAGGCAGCGGCTTAATCCCCTGCGCCACGATGCTGGCCCCCAACACGAATTTCTAAATGGAAAGATTGTGTACCTCGAAAGGATTTTTTGAGCAGACTTAATGTAAAAAAAGGATGAATTACAACAAAGAATAGGGGTATTTTAGGTTGATTTTAGAAGTGGGACCACACCTCTGATACTGCCCTTCCTATCAGCTAATCTCTTTCCCCTAAATCCTAGCAAAACTGCTTTCAGATTATGATGTTTGCTATGCAAAAAAGAGAAATGAAGTTCCTTACCAGGACAACCCTGCATTTAACATCCGTGGGATCCAGGGCAAAAGTAGAGATGGCGGCCTGCGAGCTTTCTAATTACTGAAATTATAGGCGGAGTTAACAGACCCTGCAATAAGCACTGTTACTGACCCTGACAAAAGCTCCCCAACCCCTGCATGGTCCAGGTGAGATTTCCTCTGGGGAGCAGTGAAGGTCTTTTCTCCCCTCCGCTCCCACCCTGGCTTCATCCAACAGAACCTCCCTATACATCTGTGGACACACGTCCAGGGCCTGTGCACCTCTACCCTCAAGAAAAAAAAAATCCTTGGTCCAGAGCTGTGCACGGCAGCAGAGCAATCTGCCTGTAGAGGGGTAGACCCGAGGCACAACAGCGCAGTTTCAGGAGCAAATCCCTGTCATTTAGACACAGAGCACCAGGACCTGAGTATTGGATGTCGTCAAGAATTAGTGGATTGAGAGGACTCTCTTGGGGGACACAATCCCCTGGTCTCTTGGACAGGGTGTTAGGCAGAGAAGGTCAGACCGGAGACTCTCTGATGGAGCACTAAGACTGGGTCAGGTGGACACAGGTCTAAGGGGGTTAATGCAGGTGCATTAAACTGAATGCAACTGGCCTGCAGTTGTTCCTTAATAAGGTTTTTTATGTAATCCAAATCCACTTTTGCCCTGCTCTCTATGGTGGCTAGAGAAACCATGCTACAAAATGCTATCTATCTATCCATCCATCTATCTATTTTATCTATCTATCTATCTATCTATCTATCTATCTATCATCTATCTATCTATCTATCATCTATCTATTTAGTGATTAAAGTATTTTTGTGGCTTTTAAAAGCCTTTATTTTTTTAACCCAGCATTTGAAAAATCAAAATCCCAGAAAAACTGATCTTCAAAAACACATTCTATGGGGCTGGCATTGTAGCATAGCAGATTAAACTGCCAACTGTGATGCCAGCATCCCATATGAGCACTGGTTCTTGTCCTGGCTGCTCCATTTCTGATCCAGCTCCCTGCTAATGTGCCTGAGAAATCAGCTGAGGATGGCTCAAGTGATTGGGCCTTGCACCCATGTGGGAGACCTGGAAGAAGCTCCTGGCTCCTGGCTCCGGCTTGCGCCTGCCCCGGGATCTGCTATGCGGAAAACAGACATGTCTTCTCTATCATTGCTGCCATTTGGGGACTGAACCAATAGATGGTAGATCTTTCTCTTTCTCTTTCTGTCTCTATACTCTCCTGTTTGTAATTCTGCTTTTCAAATAAATAAATAAATAAATCTTTAAAAGAAAACAACATTCTATTTCTAGTACAGAAATTATCTCTACTTTCCATTTTCCTGAATTTTGACAGAAAAGACAGAAGTATTAAGAGAATTAGAGAAAAAGCTCAAATTACATTTTTCTGATTGGCATATTTCTGATGGGGAGGTGATAACTAGCATCTGTGAGTCAAACCAAATTCAAGAAAAATCTTGTTTTTAATCTGTTTTCTATATAGCAAATCCCACAACTTTGAAATTACACACTTCTTATTTTGTGGTAAATACTGAGCTTAAAATTCACACATTGCCTGACTTTAGAGCTATATTTTCCAAAGTAATGCGATTTATTCAAACATACATCAAGGGGTTTGTACACAATGATTGAACTTAATAAATAAAATTATTTTTATAGAAAAAAATGAAATTTATACATAGAAGGCATCTCTAAAACAAACATGAAAAATATGTATTATGAAAACAACTATGCATGGATTTTAAAAAAATTTTGCACCAAAACAAGCTTATCTTTTAATTCCAGTTTACATGAGCTTTTTGTAGTGCCCTCATATATCATGTTGCCTTCAAAATAAATGGTATCAAGAAAAACGAGAAAGAGAGATACTGGCTCATAGCATTCCAAATCATCCTATTAACTGCCAATGAAATTCACTTCTAGATTCAACTGCTAGCAAATATCTGCTGTACACCTGTTATTTGTCTACCACGAGGCTACCTAAGTTCTGGAAATTGAGAAAATAATATACTACTACCTCAGTGTAGTCCTATAAGGCACTAATAGCCATATCTATCCTATACATAAAACATAAATTAACAGCCTGACTGAGTAGGCAAGGAATCATTTACACTAGCCATTAAGAAAATGGGAGGTGTTTCTTTCACTAAGAATGACTACAGTCATATGATGACACATCAAATATTTTTAATGTACCTACAAATAGAATATTTGCAATGTGAAAATGAAGTAAAGACAAGGAGTAAGAAAACATAGCAGTACACAACTAGTGTGTGTTAGCTTAGGTTTAAGAGAAACATATCAGCAGAATAAATTTGGATTTGGATTTTGTGACATTAAAATAATGAATTGCACTGGTCTTATTATAAACTGCTTTCATAGTTTCATTGCCCTCATATCTAGGTAAAAGGTAAAGAGAGTTGATAGATGCCAATTCATGCAGAAAATAATGAGACATAGCTCTATATTCCTTCTTAACGGTGAAATTTCAAAATAGTTAGCTAGTTTTACAGTTTGCAGCGGCATTCTGGTATAGGAAAAGGATCATGATGTGAAAGTCTTCATGAGAAATCTCCATACCTATAAATAAAGGGCAATGGCATATCCAACTTACAGAGTGGCAAGGGTGGATCTCTGAGGAATCTTACAATAACACTGGATTGCAAACATCACTGCATCCTAAACATTATGTAAGGATCAAACCATTTCAAGTGTTTTAAAGCATCCGTAGATATGAAATTTGAAGTCTAGGATTATGGTGACAAGAATTAGTAAATAAAAATAACTGTCAGTGTTTAAAAGTGGAACAAATAAGGCCAGCATTGTGGCACGGTGGGTTAAGCCACCGCTAATGACACTGGCATCCCACAGCCGGTCTAGTCCCAGCTACTCCGGTTGTGATCCAGCTTCCTGCTAATGTGCCAGAGAAGGCAACAGAAATTGGCTCAAGTACTTGGAACCCTGCCAACTTGTGAGAGACTAGGATGGAGTCCTGGCCCCTGGCTTTGGCCTGGTTCATACCTGGCTGTTATAGCCATTTAGGGAGTGAACCAGTCCATCAAGAACCCTTTCTCTCTCTCTCTCTCTCTCTCTCTCTCTCTCTCGTCTCACTCTCTGCTTCCCCTCTCCATCTGTCATTCTTTCAAATAAATAAATCTTAAAAAAAAAAACAACTTGGAGCAAATATCTTTCTCTTTGCCTTTCCTTGGATCATTTTTCTTCTGTTTCTCCTTCTCAGTGTGTTATATTACAACTCAGGTGTTTAAATATTTACTGTTTATTTCACATGAACTCTTCTCAATGTTATGAATTTTAAAGGAGAGAGAATATTTAGAACCATTATCCTCTGGACCTGAAATAGAGTTTATAGATCGCCTAATCAATCAGTTCATAGGTGAAGGAAGAGACTCTGGGACATTTAAAATTTGTCTTGAAATTATTAAATGAACTTGCATGTTAACTGACATGTCCCACTGTGTTTGTCTCTTTTATATGGAAAGAAGGTGCCCTTCATCGAAATTACATAGGGTGGATGAAGAAAAACACATAGCAGAAATCAGTAAATTAATGAACATTTACAATGAGTAGACACACAGCATCCTAGGCTTAGTTTTCATTGTGTCCTTACCATCCTCTTTGTCACTGAAGACCTGAAGGAAATTAGTGAGGTTTTTGCTTTTAGACACCAGCTCTTGGTGTGTCCCCATATGGGCAACTCGGCCATTTTCCATGACAACAATAAGATCCACGTGTGGCAAAAGTGTGAGGTTGTGTGTCACTAAAATACGAGTCTGAAAGACAAAAATGTTTTATTCCATAGTTACAAAAAATTTTGGCACAAAGGATCTATTTCAAAGAAAGCAGCAGTCCATTTTTCTGTCTTCATTATTTCAATGGGTAATTTTTAATAGTGTCAGTTTAAGACAACATCTATATATTTCACAATGAATGATGGTGTGCTGCAAGACAAGGAAATAGTTCGCAAATGTGACTTTAACTCTTTGGTTCAGGTAATTTTCATTCATTATAAATGAATCAATTTCATAGAAAATTCAAAGTAATTCCATAACTGTCATCCTTGCTTATTTTTGTAATATATGGTTCAATTACAAAGAGTATTTGACCCAAATCAAAATTCAGGTTCTTTATTTTTAAATCTTTCATATTACTTTTCATATATATATATATATAAATACAAGTGAATGAGAAACTTTTATCTTGGGTTCAACTGAGTAAGACAGTCGCACATCATTATTTAGTTAGCGACATATAAAGTTCCTTTATATTTAAAATAGGAATAGTGATATATCCTATATTAGACATTTGTTATAACTATAGGAATTGATTTAATTTGCCAAACATGGCATATACTTGGTAAATATAAATTCCTGTTTTCTATGACACTATGGCTACCTTGTTTTTCAAAAGACCTGAGGATCCTATCACGTTTTCAAAAAGCTGCTTTCCAACATGGACATCAACAGCAGACAAGGGATCGTCCAAGAGGTAGATGTCGGCCCCGCTGTAGACAGCTCTGGCCAGACTGACTCGGTGCTTCTGGCCACCACTTATGTTCACTCCCTGAGAAGAGAGCAGGAGAGAAACAAGACCAGAGAAGAGCATGTGGATCTCAGAGCACGTGCAGTTGCATTCAATCTTATTTTGCAGCATAGATAGACAACCAACCATCATGAAGCTCGAATATTTACTTACCCATGGATTCCCAGGTCTACCCCAGCCTATTTCCAAGTATCCCTCATTTGTGCAAATTAACAGATGAGTCTATTTTTTCTTGACTGCTTATTCTCAAAAGGAGATGCTAACAAGCAAGGAGAAAAGAGTTTCCAAATCCCTCACTCTGAAAAGCCGTGTCTGTGGAATATTAAACAAGTCTTTTGGCTGCCAACCGTATACTGACACCAGTGATCATTTTTAAATTGACACGTAGGAAATTGAGAATAATAGCTGAATTACCAAAACAGTAATCAACATGTCCTATTTTCTCCTGGAGAAAGATTAGTACAAGTCTTGTTGGCAAAAGTACAACTCTCAGAAGCAAAAATAGGGAATATATATCACCTCGTGTGAGAATTAAATTTGACATGTACAGCCATGTATGGAGAATTATGAGGCCAGGCCTAATTTACTTGATTTATTTTATAGTTAGTATTTACATATTTAGTGTTAAGTTTTCAGTACAGCACAGAATTTAACCAGTGACTTATAATTATAAAATATCACACCTTCTTCACATTTCTCATCTTCTCCAAGTATGTTTATATTCAGAGTGCTGGGCTAGCACTTGGGATTTAAAGATAAATGAAGCAGAACTTCTGTCATGAGTAACTCATAGTCTGACAAGAGAGATAGGCAAGAAAAATAACAAATATACACACACACATGTATAAAGTAATGTGATGTGTGTGTGATTGTTAGTCTACAATTCATGGTTTTGCTATGAGCATTCAATGAATGTAAAAATATTTAGAACAAATATAGTACTAAGTAAAATCAATATCAGCTATTATCCAATCACTTCCTTCTCCAATCCTTTCTCTGCTTTGTCCTCACTTATATTTTTGCATATAAACTTTGGATTCCCACATCTCCCCACTCCCATGATTCCTGAGCAGTAACAAATTCCTGACTATAGATCTCAGATGCTCATATTCTGGTATTAACTCATCTCCATAACCACTCTGACAATACTGTCCTCAAGTGGCTGATTTGCCAATCAGGCTAATATGTCATTTTATACTGGGCAGAAGATAGTCCTTCTGCTGGGGAGCCCACACCCTCCTTGTCCAACTTAAAGCCTACTTATGCTACAGATTCCACTGGAGAGTCATCCTCAGGGCACCAGCGCTGTGGCGCTGTGGCGCAGGTTAAAGCTCCTCTGCAGCGTCGGCATCCCACATGGGCACCGGTTCGAGTCCCGGCTGCTCCACTTTCAATCCAGCTCTCAGCTGTGGCCTGAGAAAGCAGTAGTGATCCAAGTTCTTGGGCCTCTGCACCCATGTGGGAGACCCAGAAGAAGCTCCTAGCTCTTGGCAGATTGGCGCAGCTCCAGCCATTGCGGCCATCTGGGGACTGAACCAGAGGATGGAAGACCTTTCTATTTCTATCTCTGCCTCTCCGTAATTCTGGCTTCCAAATAAATAAATAAATCATAAAAAAAGAAAGTCATCTTCCAACCAGTGTGCCAAGGGAAGGGGTTCATTCTTGCCTTGCTGTTTGTCTTGTTGGTAAAACTGGCAATAGCCAAGTCAATCTCTCTCGCCATCCTATTAGTTCCTATCTGAGTCATCCTTGTATTCCCAATACTGAGTATTCGACAACTGGTGATCAGTTAATATTGGTAAAGATAGCTGGTGGATATCACTGACAGAGATCCACTGGACTGTAAATCCCTGGAAGGCAGAGTGACAGCTCACTTGCTTACCATTGTGTACCCCATAGCAGAACAAGGGCATATAATAAAGTGTGTGTGGCATATAATAAACTGTGTGTGAACAATTAAAGATTGCCAAAAAAGAAAAGATAAATAAAAGTGAGGGAAATGTCTCATTGTCTGGGTTGTTTCACAAAAAAAGCTGTAAACAGATTTCATTTTGAGATACTCAATTACATGTTGCATTAATGTGCATCAGCACATGAGGAGAAATTTCATTATAAAAAGAAAAAACTATAAATAGCAATAGCAATTGATGCCTATATTAAATCTATGTTTCCTAATTTCAAACTTTCTTTTTAAGTTCTTGGTAGTTATACGCTGTGAGACATAATATGCTTTGTAGATGGGTTTACTAGCATATTGTTCAATGTATTATTAAAAGGCCTGAAGAAGTCATATTTCTGCCTGATCTTAGCTACCACAACTTTGCTGAGGGATACGTAAAAGCCAGAAAATATTCAGGAAGTGGAAGAATATACTTACGTAATACAAGTGAGAAAGTACATTTGCAAAATAGCAGGTTATGAATGAAGCAAGCCTAGATAAAAGGTAAGTTCTCTATATTTTCTATACTCTTTTTTTTATCATTTTATTAATTAATTAATTTATTTAATTTTATCAAGTTATATAATGGCTTATGCTCACTCTCTTTTGAGAATTAAAATCACTCTGGAAGAATTATTTATCCATCTTTACAGCACACATGAATTGTAGACTGAAGATTATTTTGTATTCACGTTTAATTTTAATGAGGATTTCTATCAGGGGCTGGGGATAATCTCTCTGGGTTCACACTCTGGGTCATGATCTCATCTCTCTCTTATTTTTTTTTTTTTCACTGCAAAACATGTAACAGAGTAATGGCACAGTATTATCACAATGAAGATAAACCAGGACCCAGGAGTGACTGGTAAACAAGGCCCTCTTCAGCAGGAAGGTGGCAAGGTGAAGTAGGCATATTCCTAACAGTGCTGTCTCAGGGCCTCCACAGAACCCAGACCTGATGCCACCACTGGAAAAAGATTCGTTCTCATCGTAGCCTGGACTTTGTGCACAAGAGATGCAGGAAAAAAAAAAAAAAAAAAAAAACAAAAAGACAAAACAGAATCATTATTCACTCATTAGAAAGTGGACAGCATTGTGCCAGCAAATGAAATGGAAGTGTTGCTGATCTAATTAGGAAGATTTTATTCCCCTATGTGGCTACAAACAACAGAATTTCCTACTGGTTTTGAACCTACTTTCCAGTCAATTTTAAATAATTAGCTGTTGTTAATGCTGCCATCTTGTCCACAGGAGTACTATAATGATTTCTTAAATTTATACTTGCACAGCTCTTCAAGTCCTCAGTAAAAAGGGTATCTTTTATTAGCACAGCTGAGTGGCATTCATTTCTGCGTATGATAAAATATATTTTACTAACTCTTTCTCCAATCTCAGTTTGATCTCCATTTGGTAACTGCTCCAAATCAGGAACGAGAGCACAGGCTTCCAAAATTTGCTCATAAAACTGCTTCTGCATGGTGGAGCCAAAGAGAATGTTTTCTTGCAAAGTGCAATTCTGAATCCAGGCCTGCTGGGAAACATAAGCCACAGAGCCCTAAAGAAAGAGAGAAAGAAAGAAAGGAATATTCTTCACACGGGAAAACGAGAAGTCTCCTGCACCAATTTAAGGGAATAAACACAGTCCATGGTTTTTGCCTTCTTGTTTCAAAATGTCATTTAAAAAATAGCGCAGTTTATTTCTTCAATGTAAATATATAGATCATAATGTCCTAATGGCACATATGTTCATGACAGTTCCCTCCCAAAGATTACTTTGTGGTTCTTTCTTTTCACTGTAGGTTCTATCAAAGTTGTCTGCCTGGTAGGTTTTTCTGGAAGCAGAAACTAAGTGTGTTAGTTTGTTGGGGCTGCAGTAACTCGGTACCAAGACTGGTTTGCTTAAATAATAGAATGTGTTTTCTCAGGGTTCTAGAGGCGAGGCCTCTGGGATGGAGGTGTCAACAGGGCTGGTTTCTTGGGCGGCCTCTCTGGTGTGTAAATGACTGCTTTCCTGCTGTGCATCTTATGGCATCCTCCCTCTGTGTGTGTTTCTGTGCCCTGACAGCTTCCTCCCACAGCGACAAAGGTCCTACTGGGTCAGCTGAGCTTAACTTAACTAACTCTTTAAATAAATATACTATCTCAAAAACGCAGCTCCAGTCTGAAGTACTGGGAGTGAGGACTTCAATACACGAATTTAGGGAGAGCACAGTTCGTTCCTATCACTGAGACAGACTTGGGAGTGCATATTTCATCTTCGGGATTGACCACTGCTAAAGGACAAAAGGAAGGGAAATTGGGTAAAGAGAGAAGTCACACTCCAATGGAGACCTGACCATGCTTTGGCCAACCCTCCAGAGAGCTTCCAGTGAGGATCACCCCTAGGCTGGGGACAGGGGGACTTTTCTTCAGTCAAGACCAATACAGAAGGAAATGATATGCTACAAGAACTCCGTTGGCTGGAAGGCAAGTTTCTCTCCAAAGGGGAATCTGGGCAGTGCATACCCATGTCTTGTTATTGACATTGATCCCTTTTCCTAAATTCATTTTTGGCAACCTTCTGAGTGGAGATGATAAGGATGTGACAACTGCTACATAAAGCAGTCTCATAATTAACCCTACCATTCTTGAAAAGAACTTAAAATATTTGAACTGGAGGCCTACCTTTCAGTCTGCCCCATGGACTCTAGTTGAACATGATTTTGGAGTGTTTTGACTACGGCCCACTCCCTAACAATACCAGTCATTTAAAGTACTTTCTGAAGTAGACGTGTTTGTAACTATTAGCCTTTTGATTTCCTCCAGCTACATTAAAGATCAAAGGCTAACATTTAATTCTTCTTTGCTGAGCATGTAAGACACTGAATGGCTTTTGATAAAAGACAATATACTTTTAATCTGACCTGATCCTGCACACAAGCGTAATTGCTCTTGAATCGCAATGTGGAGTGAATAATGCAGCCTTTGAATAGAACAGCATATTAATTCAGCCCACAGGTGAAAGTCATTTTGAATACCTGCTACATATTAAGCAAGTTAAGTAAAAGAGAGTAAAAGAATACAAGAAAAAAGATGGAAGAATATGAAAAATGGCATATAACATACAATAGAAACTAAATACTATATTGAGATGTATAGCCTTATATTGATATTATTACAAGAGTCGAAAAACAGGTGATTATTATCAAGGAGATGTAGATTTTTTCCTTTATTATTAACTATTATTTGCCTTTCACAAAGAAAATGTATTTGATTTCATACTTAATAGTGTAACTACAAAGGAAAGGAGCAAGAGAATATCATTATGTTCTTAGTATTGTATCTACAAATCATGTTGAATCTGTTAAAACTAATTAAAAATTAAAATTTAAAAATTTTTAAAAAGAAAAAAGCTACAGGAAAAGTAAGGCTTGCATATTAAAAGTCAATGGAACTGAGTATGATTTAGCAAACTCAGGCAAGTATGCACTTCTTCAAGGAGACATCTTTTTCAACTCTGTTATTAAAGGCAGATACCAATATAAATTCATTGAGAAACAAATCATGGACTTGCTATTTTATGAATCATTAAGAATCATGACATATACTCAGTCATTGCCCTCATTAAAATTAATCATTGTTGTTCATAAGCACTTTGTCTTATTAATAAACTTTTATTATTTTTGAAAAAGTAAAGTGGAATACACGTCTATCAAAATATGACTGACAGAGCTTAAAATAAAACATTACAGAAAAAGAATGACAATTTTCAACAGTAGGAAATGTGTGCAAATTAAATCCCCAGACCGTTGAACTTGATTACCATATAGTTCTCTTTCAGTATGTTTGGAAGGGGAAAATTCATTAATGGAATGGAGAATACAAAAGGAAATATATAAGAATCACAGGGTTTTCATAATTAATTTAGATTTTCAAATATTAGCTCATTAAAATTATAGTATCTAAGTTCAATTCATTTAAAAAAGGTGTGAGAGCTCTCCCTAAACAAAATATAATATTATTTTGAATGTTTCATTACAACACATAAACACAGTAGGTGTTCCTATAATTGTTGATTAAACTTTGAGTGTCCATTTGTGTGTTTGTATAAACATATATTATTTGTGCACATAGACATCCAAAATTATTGTAATCAGTAAGCTGAGCTCATTTACTATTATTGGTATGATCAAAGTATTGGACCACTTGAGTTCAATTCAATATTGACTTTTTTTTACTTTATGTACTTGTTTGTCATTTACTTTATATAACATATATATGCATATATAGAGTCCTATTTATTCTTTACAGTATGTGTTTTTTATTTTTATGTTTATGTGGCACATAAACAGTTATCCATATTTTAGGACAAAATGTGATGAATAATGTATGAGAATGATGATTGCCTCATTTTGAAAAATGATTATTTCTAAAGTTAAATGAAAATGAGGGAGTCAGGGAGAAATAAATTTCTTTCTTAATATTTTAAATAAAAAATGTGCTAATTGAAAAATAGTCTCCCAATTGCTGGTATTCCATCAAAGAACATTTAATATCGAACATTCTGCATGAATGGTATCTGGTGGGAAATTCTGATAGTAAAGAAAAGTAGGAGGTCTTAGAGAGAAAGTTTGGAGGCAAAGGGCAATCTTAGAATTTAAAAATTGTGGTTAAAATGTCTCCAAAAAGTGATCAGGTAAATACTGAAAAAGCAAAAAGATGTACACAAAAACATTTTTAAGCTCTAAACATTAAGTTGGTCAAACTATTATAATGATCATATCACTTAATTAGATATAATCAAGATAATAAGGATTTTACTTATAAAATCAGCATAGAAATGTCTGGGGTAATAATTCAGAGTGCAATACTTCCAATCCTGCTATGGACCCAAATCAAAGTCTTCCTGAAAGCCAAAGTGACCAGTTCTAGGGACAGATATTATCTTCCGACATGGACACCTGTAATTTAAGATAAACAGAGTTCTCTGCTTTACCATTACCAATGGCATTGTGCTGGTTTCTTTTGCCACCATCAGCACTTTCTTAATTATAGACACTCGAAGATACAAGAAATAATCTTTAAGTCTTACCATGAGAGCTTCAATCATCACAAAGATGATAATGATAACCATGAATATTCATAGGGAGCTACAGGTCTCTGCCAGGAACTAGGCTAAGTTTTGACACACAATCTCATTCAGTCTTCACCCCAGACTTTGCAACTCACTGCCATTATCACTGTAGTAGGTGAAACCTAGAATTTACATGATTTTTATCAATTTCTAATCATGTTCAAGATTCAAAAAGACTAGTGCATCTCTGATTACTTTTTTAATTCTTGAAAGCAAAATTGCTTTTTAATGTTTTGTTTCCTTTTTATTTATCAATTTAAACATTTATCCTAAGTGCCTTTGATATTTCCCTTGCTAGACTATGAACTCTGAAAGAAGAGGGGCATTATCTTATACATATTTGTTTGCTTGGTGCTAAGTACTAGGTGAATAGTATATGTTCGGTAATTACATGGTAAAAGTAGTTTAAAAACTAAAAGAAAGTAACATTTTATAATATTTTGTGAAGGATACTCACTAGACTAGGAAAATTGATGATTGTGTTGGCCTACAGAAAAATGGTGGCTTGCAATCATCATAAAGAACATAGGGCCACAAGACAGCACATGTGATGTTAAAAAACAAGTGTAAGATTATCAGAAAAAGTCTATATTAGAGAAGAGTAATCAGAGAGAAAAGTAATAATAAAAATTAATCATGACATTTCTGGAATCATAAAAGATATAAGGATAGGAGGAAATATATACTGTGAAGAAGTATAAAAGAAGGTTTAAAATTAATTTTTTCCAAAAAATTTAAAAAGGAGAGTGTGAATAAAACTGTTCTCAGATATAAAAAGTTTTCCCATCTTGTGAGAAGTGAGTAGGAAGGACTGGGTTTCTATTTTATTAAGTTAGTTAGGTTTCAGCAAAAACGGACTGGATAGACTACTGTTTCAAAGGAGAAAGAACTGCTCAAGAACTTATTCAACTCTTCTTATTAATGACCTTTACTAATAGCACAAATGGCTGAGAGTGGGTGTCCCCATAGACTAATGCCTGAATTTTAGATGTACTTTATTAATATTATTATTTTTGGAGGTTTTTTTATGGCAAATATTCTACCCATGAGCAGCTAGGAGACACAATAGCAATGAAATGGCCATAATTACTTAGGAAATCTTGCAGTGAATTATAACTGAAAACCTAACCAAACAGTAACATACATCACAAACATTTATTTCCAATTATTTGCAACTCAGTGAAGATGGTCAAACAATTACTATAAGCATTCATAAATGATCTGCTGAAGTATGTGGAGGACAGAATTGATACTGATCCATGCATAGCTATTAAATTGCTATGGAAATGGAGATGTTTGTTATAAACTAGAAGTGCCCATTAAATATTTGCATCAACTCAATTTGATAGATGGTTGTTGACGCCCACAAGCTGGCTATCGCCTCTTAGATTAGGAGAAGATGAAAGAGAGAATCACCAGCATTACCTTTTTTTGGACTACTCCTGTGAGCTTCTCCATTTCCCCTAGAATGGCAGACAGCACAGATGACTTTCCAGAGCCAACTTGCCCAACCACAGCCACTAAAGCTCCCTCTGGAATCTTTACGTTCAAGCTGAAAGACAAGAAAAAGAGAAAGATGACTTTCTGCTATGCTTTAAATAATTTTTATTTCTGAAAGAGAGAGAGAGAGAGAGAGAGAGAGAGAGAAATAGCTCCCAGCCACTGGTTCACTCCCTCAAGTGCCAACATTGACTAGGACTTAAATTAGGAGCTGGAAAACAATCCAGGTCTCCCACGTGGTAGAAACCCAACTAACTGAACTCTCACTGCTGCCTTCCAGGGCATGTTAGCAGGAAGCTGGGCAGGAGCTGGAGCCTGGAATTCAATCCAAGGTACTCCAATGTGGAACATGAATATTTGAACTACTGAGCTAAATGTTCACTCCATTGAGAGACAGAAAGAGAGCAAAATCTCCCATCTACTGGTTCACTCCCTAAATTTACACCCTAGTTGCGGCTAGGAGCCAGGTGGAAGCCAGGAGCCAGGAACTCATTTCAGGTATCCCATATGGGTAGCAAGGACCCAACTACTGGAACTATCAACGTGCTGCCTCCCAGGGTGCACATTAGTAGGAAGCTGGAATAAGGAGCTGAGCCAGGACTCATACCCAGGCACTCTAATATGAGATGCAGGAGCCCCCAAAGATATCTTAACAGTTAGGACAAATGCCTGCCCTGGTTATATTTGCTAATGCTGTCCGTTCTTATATAAGACATTGTATATAGCACTGAGCATCATCCCAGAAATTGTCATGTTTTACCTTCTTCTATAAAAATCTAGCTTTTTAAAATGCAAATCAGACATGAGCAATCAAATGTTGCAGGTGGAGAAACAAATAGAAAAATGGATGGTAACATTCCCATGAAAATGAAAGGCACAATGAGAGATTTTAAAAAAAGTCATATTAATTTCTGTAAACTCATCTTCTTATACTCTAAGAAACAAAATCCGTGAATATCATGGAACACAATATTAAATATTTTACACATAGTTTCTGCAAAACATCACTTACTCTTTTAGTACTGGAATCCCTGCTTTCTCCCAGGAAAAAGAAGCATTTGTGAATCCAACGGCATAATCTATGAAGAAAAAAAAGGACAATGATGCATTTTTAGGACCAATTTTCTTCAACCCAGGAGTCAAATAAATATTGACTGTGAAGAGAAAATGCTGACCTCCTGCATAGTTTGTTTCGATATTCTGAGGAAGAATCTCCTCAGAGTTGAGAAAGTCTTCCAAACGGCCCAGTGATATCCTTGTCTATCAAAACAAGCATATGGAATTTATTTGAGGTTCAAATTGAGCTTTAACCACAAAGATTTTCCTGTGATTTGCAGTCTGATTACAATATTCGATGCAAACTGAAGATGTCCATGTCAGTGTTACAAGCATGGCTTGGATTGTTTTAATGCTGTAGACGCCTTCTTCCTTAAAATGAAAAAGGGTTTCATGGTTCAAGTATCAAAATAGATATCACCTATTTAAAAAGGCACGAGGGGGCCAGCGCTATGGCATAATGGGTAAAAGCCACTGTCTGCAGGGCCGGCATCCCAAATGGGCACTGGTTCTAGTCCCGGCTGCTCCTCCTCCAATCCAGCTCTCTGCTATGGCCTGGGAAAGCAGTAGAAGATGACCCTAGAGCTTGAGCCCTGCACACATTTGGGAGACTTGGAAGAAGCTCCTGGCTCCTGGCTTTGGATCAGTCCAGCTCCAGCCATTGTAGCCATTTGGGGAGAAAACCAGTGGATAGAAGACCTGTTTCTCTCTCGCTCTGCCTCTGCCTCTCTGTAACTCTTTCAAGTAAAATAAATAAATCTTTAAAGAAAAAAAAGGCATGAGAAGAAATAGAATTTCCTTATTATTGTAGAAAATCCATAATACTGATTAACAAGTAGAGATTAACTTTCCCCCAGCTTCTCTGAGTGTAATTGATAAGTAAATAAAAATTGTATGTAAGGTATACAGTGTGATGTTTTGATACACATTCACGTTTTTAATGACATAGAAATCAGGCTAATTAAACATGCATCACCTCACATGCTTATCTTTATTTCTTTTCTATGTGTGGTAAGAATATTTAACATGTATTCTCTTAGCAAATGTAAAGTAGAGAATATCTTATTATTAAGCAGTGTCACCATGTTGGATATTCGGTTTCCAGAACTTATTCATTTTATAACTGAAAAATTTATGACCTTCCACAAATATCTCCATTTTTTCCATCCCTAACAACCACTGCTACTCACTGCTTCTTTGAATTCAAACTTTTCCAATTCTATATGTGAGATCACGCACTAGCTGTCTTTTGCTGTCTGGTTTATTTCACTGAGCAAAAGGTAGTATCATGTATTCACAAATGGTAGGATATACTTTATTTTGTTTTAAAGATTTATTTTATTTATATGAAAGACAGAGTTACAGAGAGAGGTAGAGACAGAGAGAGAGGTCTTCCATCCGCTGGTTCACTCCTCAGGTGGCCACAATGGCCAGAGCTGTCATTGGTCACTTAGGTTATATTTATATCTTTGCAACCATGAATAAAGCTATAAAGAACATGGCAGAGATATCTTTTCAAGATACTGATTTTGTTTCCTTTATATATATACCCAGATGTGGAATTGTTGGGTCATATGTTAGTTCTATTTTTGATCTCTTGAGGGAACTACATATTGTTTTCCATAATGGTGTACCAGTTAACCTTCCCAACAATAGCAAACAAAACCTCCATTTTCTTCACCACTTTTCCAACACTTGTATCTTCTGATGTGCTTGATAATAGACATACTAATTAATAGATACAAAGTGGTATTTCATTGGGCTTAATAAGATAAAGTTTTAAGGACAACTTCAAGACTGTTGAATGAAGTCTGTTTCTAATAATAAAACAAACTGCACTTTAGTTTTAATGATAATAAATATTGTTACAATAAAAAATATATAGAATATTTAGCTACTGTTAGCATAAATAAAATAGCATTTTCTCCCCTGGAAGTGACTTCAATGAAGTCTCAAGTATAATTTATTTACATTCTGCTAGGAGACTTGTGTGTTAACAGGTAAATGTATTAGGGCTGTAGTTATGTTCACTAAGTGTCTGTCATATTAAGACACATGGTTTTTTTTCTCTTTTCTATTTTTTCTATCTTTTCTATTTATTTTTTATTTTATTGCCCTTCAAACAATTGATCTCCTTATTTGTCAAGTGAAGGTGGCAGACTATTACTAGGAATTAAAGAATACTTTAGAATACCAGACCTGTAGCTGGATTCTAATTTTGAAAGCAAAACAAAACTATTACTCAACAACTGACATTTTCTTCAAGGAAACTGCTGTGAAAACAGATGCCAAAAGTATCACATTGATAGTACGTCGATGCCCTCTGTTGGTTGTTACATGTAACATGATATGGAAAAGCTAGGGTGTTACAAAAATGCCTTACTTGGTATTTCCCATTCAATCGTTATGTCTTATTCAAATAACAACAAAATAATTTAAAGGCAAAATTCTTAGATTAAAGGGTTGGCACCAATAAGCATAGAGTCACTTGTTTATGAACACAGACCTGCAGAAAGGGATTCAAATGGAAGATATTCCGACAAGGCTCACCTGGCATTCAAAATTTTAATTAAGTCTCAGAGTACAACAGACAAGGAACACACTTTTGTGGATTCCCTGTGTTTTTAGCAGTCTTCTACTCATTGTAATATCTAAACAGACTCAGGGATTGGAGACGATAACTAAAGGCAGGCTGAACCAGGCATCCCAGGGGTGGTGTGTTGGCAGACTGGTACTATCAGCACTCTTTCCCCCCTGCTCGTTCATTGAGTACAGATGGAATGCTCTGAACGCTGGGAAAAACTCAGATCCAGTTCCCCACAAAGCACCTAGTTAGAACTTTTCAGCTGACAATAGAAAATGAACCTTTGGGTGGCAGAGTGGCTAACACCAGCTTTTTTGTTTGTTTTATGGTGCACAAAGTGATAGTTTATTTTTTAAATGGTGAGAAACACACACACACACACACACACATGTGAGCATAGTTCAAGAACACAGTGGCCAGGAAGGGAGAAGGATGGGGGAGGGAAGTAGAGAAACAGGGCCTCAGTGGCCTGGGGGGTGGGGAGCCTCTCCTGGGAGAAAAGCATAAAGAAGGAAGACATGATTCTTTCCATTGCATAATGTTCCCGGTGACTCATTAATTCAGGGAGACTAATTTTGAATGTGGCATTTAAATAACTGCAAAAGTGAAATAAGGTAAAGAGAAAAGACACAATTACGTTATGTTAACCAAAATTTAAAAAAATACTTAAGGATATGGATATGGCAACACTGCTTTGATCACCAGACTTTGTGACATTATATATGTGTATTAAAATATACTAAACCCCACAAAAAGCATAATAAACATTTAAAGAAAATATCTTAGAAGTATAGATTTCAGTAGAGGAATCATTCTTAGTTTAATGGCACTCTGAATTTACCTGGACCACAGCTGAGATTATTACTGGTAAATCAAACAGAGGAATCCTCAAAATATTAAACAACGATATAGATGTGAACACTTTAGTGGCTGTTAAAATATTTTCTTCATCCAGTAAGAAATAGATGCCAAAAGTAGCCAGAGACACCTAAAAAAATACAGATTTTTTCCATATGTTTGTTACTAATAACATTGAGTTACAGTCACAAAAATTAGAAAAAAAATTCTGTTTATTGAAGTTTAATACTACTGCTGAGGAAAATGAAATATAGGTTTAGTACAGATTATAAATTCATGAATCTTAGACAATTATACCCTTGAGACCACATGACCTAGCTCTATAAGACATGTCCTTCTTTTACTAGAATTTTTGCTACCATTTAAAATATATACCATGGGTGGGCATTTGATGCAGTGGTTAAGTGCTGTTTTTGGTGCCTATAACCCTTATCGGAGCACCTGGTTGGAGGCTTGGATACACCTGTTGACATCCAGCTTCCTGGTAATGCAGACCATGTCTCAAGTAGTCGGATCCCTGCTGCCCACATGGAAGACCAAGACTGAGTTCCAGGCTCCTGGTTTTGGGCATTTAGGGAGCGGACCAGGAGGATAGATGATCTCTGTTTCTCTCTGTCTCTCTCTCTCTTCCATTCAAATAAAATGGAAAAAAAAAAAAAAAAAAACACCTAAAACTGTTAAATATATATACCATTTTATATTTTCTCTAAAATGGAGAGTTTTATGTAAACACATTTTCAATTGTTTGTGCATATATTCTAACAAAATTATCATGCTTTTCTTAACATGTGAATAAATCATGGCTTACAAGATTTCTATTTGCTCTTACAGGTTTCATGTGGAAAAAGGGTGTTTCCAACTGCTGTGAAATGACATTTCTCTTTTGTAATGAGGAAATGGATGCCTTATTATTGTGTTAATGAACTACAGTAATGTATATAACTTGTCTGGTACACAGTGAAAACACTCAATAGATGTTACTTCTCTTCCCAGCTCTGTACAATGTGTCTTTGTGTTCGTCTTAAAAGGGATTAGCCTTACAAATCAAACTTTAGAGCTAGAATGAAGCTCTGAAATACAGGTAATATTTTTAAGAGTTAGGAAGGCATATGCTCAATTTGTGAGAAATTTTTCAATACATAAAATTCCACTAATGAACACTACACACCAGTGAGAGCACTCATGATATTTTCCCATGGTCTAAAACTTTGGTTCTCTAATCTACATAAATTAATGACTGCATTTCTTGAAAATTTTATTTTAGGTATAGAAGGTTTTTAGCATATTCAAATTAATTCTAGGTAATTTTGAAATCAATCTGCACATTAAAATTTAAAATGAAAATAGAAAGTTTTATATAGACTCACCAAGAATGGAACACAAGTTAATGTCAGCATAGAAAATACAGCAAGATACCTAGTTGATTTTTGAAACTCCAATTCCTGATCTCTAATTTTGATAATCTTATCTTTATAGGCAGGTTCCCACGCATAAAGTTTCAGAATCTGTAAAGGAGTTAGGCAATGACTGACAACATCACAGAAGAAAAAAAATGTATCCATACAAGATATGCCAGACACACACACACACAATTATGAAGATAACAAACAGCATACTCATACAGAAAAGTAAGTTGCTCCTACTTCTGGATGAATCAAAATGTTTCCTTAAATTATGGATTTTTTTTTTAGGTGGGGAAACACTATCCCCCAGCCTCATGTCTCTCTTACTCATCAACAAACTATTTCTGAGGCACACTTTGGCAACATCCCAGCTCTAGGCAGGTGCTCCATGGCAGCCTGTGTCTGGCTAATCCTGTCACTCTTTGGCCTGCCCAACTCTCACCTCTATCCACTCCCCATTTCTTCATAGCTAAGCTCTTCTCCCTGGCTCTGCAATTTCTCTAAGACTGATTAAAATTCTCAAGCCATGCTCTGCAAGATGACTGGGGTTGTGAGATTGTAAACTATTTTCAGACACAGAAAGTATGGGGAAGCAGGATCACACGCTGGCACACTGTGTAGACTAAGAGTGAGACAGACCTGTGTTCGCACTGCACTCTTTGCTTAATCTCATGTGTCTACTTGATTGAGCCATGGTGCCCAGCTGTTTGATCGAACACCAGTGTAGATTTGTCCCTCCGTTGTTTCCCAGAGGTGATTAGCATTTGATGTGCTAGACTGAGTAAAGCAGATCACCCTCATAAGAGTGGAGTCCATGCTATAGGTAGGTCAGAGGCTTTGTGAGAAGATGAAGAGCTTCTCCTATTAGAAAGAAATCTTGCCTCCAGACAGCATTCAGACTCAATACTGCAGCACCAGCTGCTGCCAGAATGCTCTATGGGTATCAGATTTACCAGTCTCCTCAATCATCTGTGGCTCCCCCCCTTTTTTTTTAAACATAAATCACCCTTCCTCTCTGGCTGTCACTGACTCCGTAAATGTAGACATGTCACTTATATGCTCCAAGTCTTTGCCTCCTGATTTGTAAAGTGAGCATGAGAAATCTTTTTTCTTGTGTTTATTTATTTCAGCAAACAGATAGAAAGTGATAAGCATAATGTTTGCCATATAGAAAATGTTCCATAAATGGCAGCTATTACAGTATTTTCAGAGAGAGGCTTTATGGCACCTGTTATCAGATCCCAGGAATTTCTGACTGCTTCTACTTTTAAACTATAATAATTGATTGCCATTTGGACAGATTTCCTAACCTAGTTTGGGTGGGGCTCCTACATGAAGTCTTGGACTATGCTCAGTTCTTGAGGAAATATTCTTCCATTACCTAGAGTGTACTAGTCTTATTAACAAAATACAAAATTTCTTTTTGTGAATATCAATATTTAAAACCCATATACACATATTATGACACTAACCTATATACAGATATTGTGATACTTATTTTTTTGGATGTAAGGGCTATTAGTTAACCTGCTAAGAGCTGCATTTAGATCCTATCACTTTGGAATATGCGACTATACTAAATAATTGAGCAAAATTTCAGAGCTACTTGAGCCTACCTAATTTCTGAAAGATAAGTGGCTACCAGTCCTTTTTCTAGGTATCTTTACTCTAAAAATTTATTCCACTTTAGTAATTTAGATTTTTATGAAATTTCTATGCAGCACATTACATAGAGGATTTGCTAATTCTAACACGAATCAAAGTGTGTATGTATGTATGCATGCATGAATGTGTGTGTGTGTGTGTGTGTGTAATGGGGATATCTTGTGTATATAATAATAGAAGCATCATATACAGGGAATTTCCTATATAAATGTCAATGCTAATTTTGCTTCATGGAAAAATCTGATTATGCATAATCTAGGTGCAACAGAATTTTAAATGATACATATAATTATATAGAAAAAATTCATGCTGTTTCACTCATTTTAGTACAGAGAAATGAATGGGGAGACTCTCCTGGGCAAAAATAATTTGCAAGGTAGCTTTTGTAGAATCTCATTTATATGTTTATTTCTGTCTGACATAAATAATCCCAATAACATCTCATCACTTCCCATGTACAACTCTGGTTTTATATTGATGACAATGTCATTGCCACTCTTGCCTGCATCGTCTTCTCTTTTTCACATACTTTCTTAAAGTGAGCAACATTTTTTGTCTTTTAGGATATTTGTGTTGGGTTGCTGAGTAAGAAACGAAAAGAAAATGCCTGCGTTTTATTTGACTTTGCATTTAAATGATATTTTAGTAATAAAAATCCCCTTAGATTTGAAATCTAAAATCCATTCTCAACACTTACATGTATATAAGGAGACTTCAAAAAATTCATGGAAAATGACATTTTGTTGGAAAAAAATTGAAATCTATACATTTATTTCATAACATGTATTTGCCATGAACGTTTTGAAAATCTCTTGGCTGTTATTTTGAGATATTAAGACCAGTGTGAGCCTCATTGGTTACTTATTGTTATACTCTGAATACTAAAATCAAAAGCATATCCCTCTTTCATTACCTTAATTCCATGTAAGATTTCTTTGAGTAGTTTTATTTGTTTATCTTTGTTCTTCGTTTGGCTTTTCTATTGATGGAAAGAAAACAAAACCATATTTTATGAAGCTGGTACCATTTTCACTTAATGTACAGATGTTTTTAAATAGTTTATTTTCTCTATATAAGATTTAGCTCAGAAAAGCATAGTATAAAGTGGAGCCCCAGTGGCACAATCGGTAGCACACGGTACTTATACAGAAAAGCATATAATATTTAGACAACACTATTCTTTGGACATGTTAGAAAAAATAAACAGGCAACTTAAAAGTAGGCAGCACGGGGCCAGCCTGGTGGCATAGTGGGCTAAGCCTCTGCCCGCAGTGCCAGCATCCCATATGGACGCTGGTTCTAGCCCCGGCTGCTCCTCTTCCAATCTAGTTCTCTAAGGCCTGGGAATGCAGTAGAAGATGGCCCAAGTACGTGGGCCCCTGCACCCATGTGGGAGACCCTGAAGAAACTCCTGGCTCTCAGCTTTGTATTAGCCCATCTCTGGCCATTGTGGCCATTTGTGGAGTGAACCAGTGGGTGGAAGACCTTTCTCTTTGTCTTTTCCTCTCTGTCTGTAACTCTACTTCTCAAATAAATAAATCTTCAAAAAAATAGTAGGCAGCAAAATGAAAGCAATAAAAACAGTAGAAAATATATTTATTTAGATATGAGTTGTTTAAAAATGTATAGTAAAAATAATATCCATATTCTACTAAAATGAGATAAATTTCCCAAAACTCCCTAAGTATAATCTAAAGATATACATACACATTTCTGTTACAGAAATGTAGTAAGATAAAAATGAAGATCTCTAAAAATTTCTCTTGTTCTTTGGAAATTCAGTAGTTAAAACGCGTGTTTTCATTTATTATTTATCTGCCTGGGAGAGAGAGCAAGAGTGAGAGCAAGAGTGGGAGAGCATTCTTCTGCTCACTGGTTCACCACCCACTGCAAGGGCAACAGCCAGGGCTCAGACGGGCTGAATTCAGGTACCCAAAACTCAGTCTGCTCTCCCCGGTGCATGGCAGGGACCGGGCTGCCTCCCAGGGGGTGCAGCAGTGTGAAGTTGGAATCAGAAGTAGAGCCAGGACATGAATTCGGTCCTCCACAGTAGGATGTGGGTGTCCTAAGCAGCACCTCAGCTGCTGTGCCCACTGCCCCCTTCAAAATATACATTTTCAAATTCCATACCTTTTTATACATTTTATTTTATTATTGTATACTTATTCAATTGTTTAACAATTATCATAGGATTTTATTTCTGTCACTGCTTCTGCATTCCTTATTAAAGATCCCCTCCCCTAACATTGCCACTGTTTGTTACATATATAATAATAAGCATGTGTGTATCTTAATGATCACATTTACAAGTTAACACCCATATCATTGTTTTTGCCATTTAAAGGCATATATTCTGATTAATGTCTATGCATATAATATTGAAGTCCCCTTGAAGATTCTAAGACTACAGAATAACATCCCAATAATGTATTTCCATTACTAATAAATTGGTTTAAATGACACCATTTAAAATGAAGGATACATTTTTAAAAACCAACAAAGATAGGCCGACATCACGGCTCACTTGGCTAATCCTCTGCCTGCAGCGCTGGCACACCGGGTTCTAGTCCCAGTTGGGGCACCGGATTCTGTCCCGGTTGCCCCTCTTCCAGGCCAGCTCTCTGCTGTGGCCTGGGAGGGCAGTGGAAGATGGCCCAAGTGCTTGGGGCCCTGCACCCACATGGGAGACCAGGAGGAAGCACCTGGCTCCTGGCTTCGGATTGGCACAGTGCTCCAGCCATAGCGGCCATTTGGGGGGTAAACCAATGGAAGGAAGACCTTTCTCTCTGTCTCTCTCTCTCTCACTGTCTAACTCTGCCTGTCAAAAAAAAAAAAAAAAGAGATATTCATTGTAATTACAAACAAACCAGCTATTTTAACCACTAGTGTTTAATACTTCTTGTTCATATTTATAATGCTATCTTCTAGTTCTCCTCTTTAAAGATGTCACAAGTTTTTGAAAATTTCATAAAACTATAAAGTACAGATTTTCAGCATGTAAACAAATTAAAGTAATAAACTTTCCTCCCCTCCATCTAATGCCATGATTGCTGCGTTATCTCTGGATTACTTCTATGCTTATAAAAACAGTTTCCTAGATGTACATCTTCATGTATTATTCATTGTACACATGTGCATGGATAATGTATTGATGGATTGTGTAGTAATTGATGTACTAATGGATTGATGATCTATGTATTCCTATTCATGACACACAAGTGGATGTATGAACGATATATGGAGCCAACCTTCCTGATCTGATCCTAGGGTTTCCCTTTCTGTGTTGTCAGGTACCCATGGTCAAACACGGTCTAAAAATGTGAAATTAAAATTCCATCACTAAACAATTCATAAAGTTTCCATTGTGTGCTTTTCTAGGTAGTGTTATGAAGCCTCCTGCTGATCCACTTCATTCTGCCTGGATGTGAATCATCCTTTTGTCCAGAAACTCCCTAGTGAGTAAGGAGGTCCTGCTGCATACACACATGTACATTTCTTTAATCTGCTTCAGCACAGAGAACCTTGATGTTTCCCTTGTGCTGCATCCTGGTGCCCTGTGTCTACCACACAGTAGGACATCACAAGGTTTACTGACAGTAAGTTGAATGAGTGACTGAACGTGAAGAAAGAATAGTAAGCTAATTCTGTGACACGTTAGCTGTGCACTGGCTGTATGCGACAGTCCTGGCTCCTTTCAGCCCAGGAGCCCTCGCCATCAGACAGTCTAGCACGCTCTGACCCCAGGCTGTGCACGTTCGGTTCCCTCTCTTGATGCATCCTTGATTCAGACATTCACTTAGATTATTCCTTTACCCCACTGATAGGTCATTTTCCTTCTGAGAACTTTCCTACTGCTCTAGGTAAAACGACAAACTTGGTTCTCTGTCACCTCATCCTACTACTTTTCTTCATGTACAAATTACCACAAGGCACCATGCTATAAAGTGTCCTTCAAAAAGTATATGGAAAACAGAATTAAAAGACAAACTTTGTTTTGGTGAAAAATAGTTTTAGAATTTATCCACAGTTGTTCATAATATGCATTTTCCATATATTTTGGAAGAGCACTTGAGTATATCTCTTTTCTTAAAGACATATTTATTTATTTAGAAGGCAGAGTGACAAAGATAAAGGAAGAGACAGAGTAAAAGAGAGATTTCAGTCTGCTAATTCATTCCTCAAATGCCCACAATGGCCAGGGGTAGGTAGGCCAGGCCAAATCCAGGAACCAGGAATTCCATCTGTACTTGGGCTGTAATCCAGCACCTCCCAGGTGTGTTAGCAGGAAGCTGAGTTGTAAGCACCCAGTAGCCAGGACTGGAACCACACACTCTGATATAGGCTGCAGATGTCCCAAGCTGAAACTTAATCCATTGTGTCAAATTGTCTACCTCTGTATGTGCCTGTTTATTTCTTTGCTTGATGCTTGTCTGTCCCACCAACCCTATAGGAACTGGAAATTGTCAGTTATGTAGGCACAGGATGGATGTCCATTTGATATTGATTGAGCAAATAATTTTGGATTATATACATATAATGGAGTAGTCAATTTCTTACCTTCAGCTTTTTCACTCTAATTGCCACTAAAGCATTTATTGGTATGACAAGCACCAGGACTGCCATGCCTGCTAATACTGCAGGACCCAGCTCCTGCCAGAGGAGTGATATGGCCATCAGGATTTGAAATGGAGCTGACCAAAGGAGATTGAGGTTTGCTGTCAAATCCATGAGCTGCTGGGCATCTGCTGACATTAAGTTAATAATTTCCCCAGTAGAATTTTGTTTTCTAGAAACATTTGATAACAGGAGAGCCTGTAAAAAAAGAAGCAAAATATTTTAGCATTCCAAAGATTATGGATCTGATAATTGTTAAAATAAATATTTATATATTTAGGAAAATATATGAGGTTATTTATGTACTGGAGTCATTTATATATATGTATATGTGTGTGTGTGTGTGTGTATATATATATATAGAGAGAGAGAGAGAGAGACATGAGGAGGTGAGGACATAAAATTATTGGCCGAAGTTCATAGCTTTAGAATTCATGAAGTATTGTCAAAGAGTAACATTTGTTTCCCAAGCAAACAAGTGCCTTTCATAGCTTGTTAAATATAAAATTGCAAGCAAATCTGATGCATTATACATTGAACTCTCTCCATTGATGGCACCTCTATAATGCTGAACCATCTGAATGCTATCAATACCAAAGCACATCAACACATCAATGAATACTGATGAATAGGATTCTTCCAAAAATGTGGAAAGATAAAAAAATTTTAAAAATCTCAGTTCTCAACGTAATTACTATCTAGTTGTGCACACACAAATACAGGTGGATTTTAAGTGTAAAAATAGCTAAGAAGGGCCATGGGAATTTAGAGAAATAAGAATATTGGAAAGGCCTCATGAAGCTAATGTTTCCCTTTATGCATGCAAAAAGTATTTATTATTTGTATTTTGAAACCAACATCCTCATGAATAATTACTGATAACTTCTTACTAAGAATTCTGATAGAAATCCATTGATTTTATTCCCTATCCATTTAAAATTCCCAGTGAATACATTAATAACTGAAAAAGAACTGAGATTTATATCTATACTGGAAAAGAAGTAAAGGGTTGTTTAATAGATCAAAAACATAGGGAGTTTCCACCACATTGATTGAAAGAAAGATAATTTGTGGCTGGGGATAGAGGCTCTCAAAATCAATTTACTGAATGAATGAATAATACAGAGGAAAAGTCCATCTGGGAAATAAGTAATCAGGAAGGCACGCCTTCTCTAACATTGCGTACTTCAAGCAAAAGGGCTTAATTCAAGGTCTGGGTGGAACAGAGTGCCCACAAGAGGGCAGCCTTGGAAGTTCACTGGATGCCAGAATCCGTACAAATACGGGGTTCTATGGCTACGGTGGTATTTAATACTCATTTTTGTTTTTTGCACAGTACATCAGAGACATTTCTGTCACTAACTAGTGGAGGGGAAGTTGTGCTGATGACAAAACAGAATGGTGCTGCCACAAAAGAGCAAAGAAGAAACAATACTCGTCAACTGTAGCAGTTAAGGGTCCAGCAAAATCTCTTGCAAATACAGCTCTGTAACTTTCCCTAATAAGTTACTGAGCAACCAATGTCAACAAATAAAACAATGGAAATCCAAATGCTGTACCTCTAATTTTAACATCTATAACGTTTTTAACAGTAGTCCATTTCTCTCACCTTTCTGTAAGTATTTATGAAAATGTTCAAAGATTAAGTAAACTTAATTATCAAGAAATTAAACAATAGCTCATTAGAAAGAGATATTACATGCAGCAAAAGAAAATATTTTAATACATCCTTGAAATCTTTACAAGAAAATAATGATCTACACTAAAAATGAAAGAATGGAAATATTGTTTCCATCAAGTCAATTTATTAATGTATTTTAAGCTTCAAAAATTCACATCTTTGCAACATACTTTGTTTCGCAATTTCTAGTAATAATGTCCAAAAAGAACAAAAGAGATACTGTGTAAAACAGAGTGGACATGAAACTGACAGTAGTATTAGATCTCATGTGTCTTGATCCATTTGTTTTAGCACATCTTGATTTGCAGTGCAAAGTGCACAGTGCACATATCTCTTTTCAGAAGACATTTAACTTAAACTCAAAATAAAATAGGTCAGTGTCTACCTGCCAAAACCCTATCACAGGACAACATTACAAGTAAAAAATGTACATGTTCCAAAATCCACCACACTCAGGAAGTTACTAAGAGCAGAATGCAAGTCACCATTTAGAAATGCAAACCCACTTCCAACGTTTGCACAGTCTAAAAACAAAGGCACATAAATGATTTAATATGTTTACTATACATCTACTTGCTTGTTTGCTTAGATTTATAGTCTAAGGTTTCATGTATAAAATTTGCCTCTAATGCATGCAAAAAAAAAGCTGTATTTTGAAAAACAGTTACCATACATTGTACAAGTTTACAAGAAAGAGATCCCATTATTTCATCTACCATTTTTGTCCTTCTTAGTTTGTGTCACATTATAAAAATGATTGTCTAAACCTCATACTAATAAGAAAAAAGGGCAGGAACAAAACACAGGAATCTTTTTACCCTTCCCTAAATTTTCCCTCCTATGTGAAGGCAGTAAAATCATAGATGTTTATTTCTAATTTGTCATGTTGTTAGAAAACAGAAGCAATAAATATGTCCCAAAATTAAAATTTTTCCATCATGCCCCTTCCATTTTCTACATAGCAATAAGCCTATTAATATGTTAAATATTTTTGTTTTCTCTTTCTTAAAATGTCAATTGTTTACATCTACTTAAAAAATAAAATTTGAATGGGATATCGTGCTGTTTCAACTTCATTACTGTTAAAGTATTATAGGGAAAAATCAGAAGACCTATCTGTAATTATAACTACTCATCTATACTGGTTGCCAATTATCAGTGATGATATGCTGAAAAAATCTTCAAATATTTTGATGAAGATACAACTTTCCTTTTCTTTTTCATATAAAACCACAATTAGCATATTTTAGATATACAGAAAACACAAATAAGTAGACTACAAATGTAAGGAATGATTTCATTGACATAATTTCTACCAAGGCAAGAATAAAATTCCACCAATCAATTAAAAATGCAATTGAGTTAGAAACTATCTAATACATAAGCAGAATCAAACATTCACATAAGGAACTAAGTGGTATGCTGCTTGTGTCCAATTAATACAGCACTCAACTCTCATCTTTAGCATTGCCACTCATGCTCACAGCAGCCATTTGATAAAGGGAAAATGAGTAACTGAACCAACTCCATCATAAGGAAAAGGTAAATTCATTCTCATTTCAAAACTGCCTGTATGGGCCAGTGCCAGCATCCCTAATGGGCAGTGGTTCGAGTCCTGGCTGCTCCACTTCTAATCCGGCTTTCTGCTTTGGTCTGGGAAAGCAGTGGAAGATGGCCCAAGTGCTTGGGCCCCTGCACCTGCTTGGGAGAACTGGAAGAAGCTCCTGGTTCTTGGCTTTGGATCAGCCCAGTTCCAGTTGTTGTGGTCATTTGGGGAGTGAACCAGTGGATGGAAGAGTTTCTCTCTCTCTCTCTCTCTCTCTCTCTCTCTGTGTGTGTGTGTCTGTCTGTCTCTCTATAACTCCTCCTTTCAAATAAATAAATAAATCTTTAAAAAATGAAAATATAATATTTACCAAAAAAACTGCCTATGTAAAGCATTACAGAATCCTCGACCATTGAACACCACCATTTTCTGTTATCCTGCATATATCAACTAACCAGTAACTTTTAATTAAGAGTAGAAAATTTTTATAATCTGAAAAAATACCCATATTGCAATTTCTGCTTACAGTTGCACAAAGAAGTATAGTGTACATGGGAAATACATGTCTGCATGTATTTCATGTATGTTCATTGCCAAGTCATGTGTCCAATGTTGAGGTGATCAAGCCTCCTAGATTCGGGATAAAAGTTCATTGTGAGCCAAGTTTGACTGCAATTGAAGAAAATGCAGCAATAAAGAACAGTGAACAGGGGGACACATAATAATATTTAAAGACTTTGTGCTATTAAGTTAAACATATCTGTCCATAAGAAAATTGGGTTCCTTTCCTACTGCACCCCATATTCACAGATTGGAATTTTCAGGCTTTTAAATATAAGTAATTCCACCTGGTCTGAGGATTTGCTCTCTTGCCATTTTCTCTTCAACTGTTATTTGTGAGGGTTTAGTTTGGAGATGATGACTTAATAGGTTTCTCTTTTGTAAGGAGCAGCAAATTAAACCATTTCACCATAATATTTACAAAAATAAGCAAGAGCCAAGCTGACTGCAGGAAATCTGCATGAACTTGATAAGAATTACCCATGGCCTGCACACATCCTCCTCGGGACCTTATCACCCCTACACTGATGGGCCAGAAATATAAAAAACACAGACTGAGGAGAACAAGGGGGGACTCTCTGAACAGATTCTTAGTGCAGCTAAGCAAAAGCTCTGGGTTAACCCACCGCATTCAGATCTTTCTGCACAAGGGTTCTCCCAGCCAGCCCTGCACTCACTGGGTGCTGAGGCTCTGCTCTCCCCAAGCCGAGACTCCGCCCCTTTGAAGCTGAAACACCAGACGAACTCTGGGACTCTGATCACCCTTGAACACCTGTGCTTTCTGGCTACAGGCACCACCCCTGTGGATGCTGTGCAACTCCGCCCTCTGGGGTTAAGACACTAGAGCACCTACCTTAAAGTCAACATGTAGAAATGAAATTGATGCTTTGGGAAGCACTGACTTTGAACATCCCTTCTCTTGATCCTTGAGGAACAATCTTTTATTTTATATTTTTGTTTTTCTTTTCTTTTCCTTTATAATATTTTCCTTATCTTTTTCTTTCATATGAATCGTTGGGTTCTTTACTTAACATACAGTTAACCATATATGTATAAAGTTAATATGTATAAAGTTAATCTTAGTAGTGAGAATCTTAGTAGAGTGAGAATAAGAAAGGGAAGAGGAAGGTGGGTAGGAGGGTGGGCACAGTGGGAAGAATCACCAAGATCCTAAAGCTGTAATTGTGAAATGTATGAAGTTTGTAACTGCAAAGCACTATAGTCCTGCATACATTCCTAGGGACTTGCTTCTAAAAGTACAGCTTAACAACTTGCCAGGGGACCCCAAATTCCTTAAGCTGGTTGGTAAAAATAGCAGTTTAAGTGTATTAGAGATCAAATGGATAGGATTAAATGGTAAAGTGATCATATGGATGGGATCAAGTGTTCAAGTGGTTATATAAATAGAAC